TTTTTTTTTTAAAAAAAAAAAAAAAAAAAAAGGTGAGTCAGGTTTACTGCCTGTAAATAATTTTGAATTCTCAATGCATCTTCTAAAATCCTATTTCTATTTGATGAGCATACAACCTCTACCGAAATACTTAAATGTTTCTGTGTCTAGGGCCAAAAGATACATAGATGGATAGCACTTTCTGCTAAATAAAATAAGCTATCACTGCTATATTAGCTAACCATTGCTATGCAAAACCACTCCAAAACAAGGACCTAAAACAATAAGCATTTGTTCAGCTCACAGTTCTTCCGCTTGGCCGGGGGATTCTTCTGGCCTCAGCTGGGCTTACCCAAGTGTCTGCCTGCTGTGGGTAGGACAAGTGGTCTGGGGACCTTGGCTGGGCTCTTGTCCATATCACCCGGGGCCTCAGTTGCACTAATGAGGCTGATTCTTCCCCATATGATCCCAAACCCTTGAGCAGGTTAGCCCTGGCTTCCTCCCATGGTGGTGGCAGGGTTCCAAAAGTGAAAAAAAATTAGCAGTGCCTTTTGAGGCCTAGGTTTGAGATGACACACTGTCACTTCCATCACGTTCTATGGGTCAAGGCCAGATACAAGGCCAACACAAATTCCACCTTTACCTCGGAATTGGGGGAGCTTCAAAGTCACATTGCTTGGGGTGTAGGTGGGGAAGTGGGAGAATAATTTGGGACACTTATAGTCAGTATACCACAGGGATGTATAAAATTGCCTTTTCTGATTGGAAATGTTTATAAATAAATATTTACTTGATTGACCTGATTAATAAAAGCCAACACCAATGCTAACATGTATACATTTTCTTATGTCCATCTGGTATTAACTAGGAAGTATATGTATTATTTATTCTCCAAATGATGACAAGTGGCTTTAATAAAAAAAAATTCAGTTGGAATTTCTTTATTTTTCCCTCAGATTCTAAATACTCAAATAACAGATATTGGCAGGTATGTGTGTATTGCTGAGAACACAGCTGGAAGTGCCAAGAAATATTTTAACCTCAATGTTCACGGTAAGAGCTCAGTTCCAAAAAACATCTGTTAGAGTATGCTCGAAAAAGCAGGAAAACTGTGTTTTAGATTATGTAGGCTTTTTTTTGTATTTTTAACTTGAAACAATGTGTGGGGCCTGCATTCATACACTCTCCTCCCTTTCTCCCCACCACAGCTAGTAGGATTTATAAAGTACAAAGTACAGATCTTCTAGGGAGTCTGTTTTTATATTATTTCAGTCCCTCAGGAGAAAAATAGTGACTCCTACATATTTGAAAGTTAAAAAAAAAAAATCAAAATCTGAAATCCCAAAGATTACACATTTTTATGAAGTTAGAACTAAATGTAGGTCTTTACTCATAAAAATCCATTCACTAGTCCTGACTGAAACCAGTTTCCATCATCAAGGGTAGAATTCATGTTGAGCTACACCCTCTAGTACCTGATATACTCCCTGGAAAATAAGTTATTTTGAGGAGTGAAATAATTCCAAAGACCACCAGCACACCGAATTCATTCATCACACTTTAAGTTTTCAATATATGCTAGTAACTCCATAAATACTAATATATTTTTTTTGGGGGGGGGCCTAAAAAAGCAGTTGTCTGTCTTCCACGAGAGAGTAGTTTTGTTCTTGTGACACAGCAGCTTTCAGAATATTAAATTGGAAATTGTGAACAATCGTTATAAAAGATTTCCTGTCCATGTGTGATGGACATGAAATCCAGCTTGTGTTGCATAAATTCCAGCTTGTGTTGGAGATCGCTGAGATTTGAAAATTCACGAAGAATTCCCCCCCCCGAAAGGACTTTGAGTTAGCAACTTCGATCTTCTTTTCGGGTGTGACCTGTAGCGGGTATTGATGTCTAGCAGTGTTTGGTGTTTGTGTAGCCGATATTTGAAACACTTTCATCTTTGCATTCCCAGTAGTTAGCACAGTGAGCAATATACAATAGGTGCTTCGTAAATATCTTCAGGGTTCTTTCAATGAATAAATCTAACCAAACAGAAACAAATGTGTCACGCATTCCCAGGAAGAATGAATTAATTAAACAACTGTAGCTGTTGTGAAAGCACACATTCTAATTTACCCAAGTGCAATAGGATAAATGTTTAAAAATAAAAATGTTCATTATTCTTTCTGCTTCGCCATGGCAGAATTAGTTTTCCCTCCTCTGTGTGATCAAGAGCATTGTATAAACACCCGTTATCCTACTTAAGCAATTACGTATGTTGCCTTGTGCTATCTTTGTATGTCTATAATCTCAGTTCTGTCCATAACCTTATTATAAAGCCTGTAGACAAGTGGTCATTTCTTATGGACGCTGGTCTCCCTAACATTAGAATGGTGTCTATAGTTGCCATAGTTGCTAAATAAATATTTGTTGTTTCTTTATTATACTTTGTTTATATTAACTAATATGCCTCTTCTTTTTTTTTAAAAAAAAATATGTTCTTACTGGTTTTAGAGAGAGAGGAAGGGTGAGGGCGAGAGAGAGAGAAACATTGATGAGCAAGAAGCATCGATCGGCTGCCTCCTGCACGCCCCCTACTGGGGATGGAGCCCCCAACCTGGGCATGTGCCCGGACCAGGAGTCAAACAGGTGACCTCTCGGTGCATGGGAGACGCCCAACCAACTGACCCACATGGGCCAGGGCCTCGATTGCCAAAGGGAAGCTGTAAGTGCTTCCTTTAAGTGAAAAGATTTAAAAAACAGTATATATATGGTTCAATGCCATCCTTGGTTTCAGGCATCCACTGGGGGTCTTGGAAGGCAGCTCCTGCGGATAAAGGGGGACTGCTCTATGTTGTGGCTTCTTTCTGGAAGACACACCCATCTCCTATCTCCCACTGAGTTTACTCCTGGTCGTATTTCAAGCATCTTCTTTTCCTTTTTGCTTTTTATTGAATTTGCTGGGGTGACATTGGTTCACAGAATGATACAGGTTTCAGGTGCACAGTTCCACAACCTATCATCTGTACCTCAAGTGTCTTCTTAAATGTCACGCCCTCCTCCTGATCCCCAAACTGTCACCCTGCTCTTCAGATTGATGCTCCTTGAGCTTGTAATTACTAGAGCGGGCTGAGAATCAGGGCCCTCAGCCAGCCTGCTCAGCTGCCAGGCCAGGAGCTAGCGGCGAACTCTCGGGCTTCCTCGCTGCAGTTCGAGGGGAGGAACTGTATCTAGCACATGAGGCCATGCAGAAAGTCCGTGCGTTATTAATCTTACTCTCTTGTACTCCACTTTTCCTCTGCACTACTTTTGCTTGTGGAATTCTTTTCTGTATTTATTTACTTATTTATTTATGGTTTTGAACAAATCACAGTATTGTTTATTTCTTAAATTTTCTGCTCATATTTAAAGTCATCGAGTTACATTGCTGAAATAGCCTATAAATTTGATAGATATCCCCTAAAATTAGATTTCTACTTTATTAAATGCAGGAAAATAAAAATTTTAAATAGGGATGTAATAGTAAAAACAAGAATATTCACCCAGGTGGGCGTGGCTCAGTGGTTGAGCATTGACTTAGGATCCTCGAGATCGAGGTTCGATTCCCGGTCAGGCCACATGCCTGGGTTGGGGGCTTGATCCCCAATCAGGAGTGTGCAGGAGGCAGCCGATCAATGACTCTCTCTTATCATTGATATTTCTCTCTCTCCCTCTCCCTTCCTCTCTGAAATCAATAAAGATATATATTTAAATAAGTAAATAAAAATAAATAAATAAGTAAAAAGAATATTCAAACGTATTAAAAAGTACTGTTGGGTACATTGACAAAACCATCTTAGGAACTGCCAACTACATCTTCCAGTAAAATGCAGAAGAATTCTGTCTTTGAAAATTCTGGCACTCTCTTTCAACTGGGAAAAACAAGACTGGTCGCCGTAGGTTTGATGAAGGCATTGGGGAATCCTAAGAGGGAAGACAGCTGGGTCACTAACAGTGTCGTTCACGCGGTGCTTTAGTGGAGTACAGTGGCTGGGCTTATGTTAACAAATTGGAAGGTATTACGGGTAATATCAGATCTCTCATTTAATACATTTTCTCTTATAGTTCCTCCAAGCATCATTGGCCCGAACCCTGAGAACCTCACTGTCGTGATGAACAGCTTCATCTCTTTGACCTGTGAGGTCTCTGGTTTCCCACCCCCTGATCTCAGCTGGCTCAAGAACGAGCAGCCTCTCAAGCCAAACACAAACGCTCTCATTGTGCCCGGTAAGGAACTCGGTCCTCCTGCAAGGGGGGCAGGGCGCTCTGATTTTTCTTTACTTTAAATACAGGTGGCGTTTCAGCTCAGTCTCTTTCCAAACTTTTGTCTTGCGCCATTTATTTGCTCACATTAAATGCCTTTCTTTACCTAATAGGGCCATTAGGATAAGATTGCATAGACTTTCACGATTTTAGTGGAAACGTACAGTAACAGGGTCTACATCAAGAAATTATGAAATTTAGGAGCAGAACTGCTTAGTAATTCCATGGGGGGGTGAGGGTGATGGGCTAGTAAATAGTGCTTTCAGTGGATAAATTCACTGGTTGGTTGTAATCAAATCCTAAGGCTCCTTGCTGACAGATAAACAGACCAACAGACAGACAAACATGTCTGAACTGCGGGAGATTTAAACCCAGAAAATACTTGTTACCATGTTTGACTATAGTACAGTTACTCTTTGCTCGCTGGGACCTATACCAAACAGTTCTCTGCATGTTTGGTTAATAGAGAGGAAAAAAATTACAAATTTTCCATTTTTTATAAAGAAGTAGAATCAATCATAAAGGAAGAATGAAAGAAAACAGATTCAATTCTTTCATCTTATATATAAATTTTACTCTCACGGGATATCTTGTCATTTATCTTGTTGATAAAGTAGTTATTAGAACAACCTCTGTACCCCTCTTCACTTTCCATTATATTTGCCCACAGGGGGTCGAACTCTGCAGATTATCCGGGCCAAGGAATCCGATGGGGGTCAGTACACGTGTATAGCTATCAACCAAGCTGGCGAAAGCAAGAAGAAAGTCTCCCTGACCGTTTACGGTTTGTTTGCACTCTCCTCATAAAATTCTTTCATTTTTAAACTGGGATGAAACATTCTCTATCTGCGCACCTTGATGAAAAAAAACCAATCCTTCTGTTCTTGTTTCTTCCCCTCAGTGCCCCCAAGCATTAAAGATCATGGCAGTGACTCTCTTTCTGTAGTTAACGTAAGAGAGGGGACCTCAGTGTCATTGGAGTGTGAGTCCAACGCTGTCCCACCTCCAGTCATCACGTGGTATAAGAATGGGCGGATGATAACAGAGTCGACTCACGTGGAGATCTTAGCAGATGGACAAATGCTGCACATCCAGAAAGCCGAGGTGCATCTTTTACTCTTGTTTGCGTGTCGTGACTCTTCGGTGGGTTCGTGGAAGAGAGAACCGAGAGTTGCATGTTCCCTTTTCTACAGCTCGTTGTACAATAACATCGTCAATGCCATTGACCTTACTTTCATAAAAAAGCAGGATTGCAGAAAGCAATTAGAAGTGGGGCGTTGGAGCGTAAAGATGACTGATGATTTAATCTGCGCTGGCACAGTGTGATTGGTCATCTGTACCTTAATGGAGCACATACAATAGTATCTTTTTCTTTTAGGTATCTGACACAGGCCAGTATGTATGTAGAGCTATAAATGTAGCAGGACGGGATGATAGAAATTTCCACCTCAATGTATATGGTGAGCATCTGCCTCTAATACAACTCTTTTTCCCCCAGATATGCCAATGAAAGAAAGCGTCCTGAGCTAGCTTAATGAGGGCACGTGATTTTCTTCTGTCTTGTTGCAGTGCCGCCCAGCATCGAAGGACCTGAAAGAGAAGTGGTCGTTGAGATAATCAGCAATCCTGTGACCTTAACCTGCGATGCCACTGGAATCCCGCCTCCCACCCTAGCATGGCTGAAGGACCACAAGCCCATAGGTAACATAGTTCTGCATTTTTTTTAAATTTTTTTTTTTGGTGGTTTTCTTTGGCTCTGAATGCACTAGATTTATAAACATTTTTTGGCCAGCCGGTGTGGCTCAGTGGTTGAGCATCAACCCAGGAACCAAGAGGTCACCAGTTCGATTCCTGGTCAGGGCACATGCCCGGGTTGTGGGCTCCATCCCCAGTAGGGGGCATGCAGGAGGCAGCCGGTGGATGCTGCTGCTGCTGTTTCTCTCATCAGTGTTTCTATCTCGATATCCCTCTCTCCCTCTCTCTCTAAAAATCAATAAAAACATATTTTTACAATAAACATAAACGAGCACATTTTCATATGCTCATAGAGATGTTTAGTTCAGAAAGCCTAATATACTGAAGTATACACTTACACAATAGACTATTAAATTACTTATTTTATAAACAGGATTTTCTTTGCGTTTCGAGAAGGCTCTCATTTAATATAAAAGCACAAAGGGAGGAACTTTTTGAAATTTCTTTTCAATCACAGTTGACACAATATTATATTAGTTTCAGGTGCACAACAGTGATTAGACATTTATATACCTCAGGAAGTGATGGCCCCAGTAAATCTAGTACCCATCTGACACCATGCATAGTTCTTACAATATTACTGACTCTATGCCCGAGGCTGTACTTTGTATCTCTGTGACTATGTTTATAACTGACAATTTGTACTTCTTAGTCCCTTCACCTCTCTCACACATCCCCAATCCCCCTCCCATTAAGAAATCTATTTATCACAAGAAGCAAGACAGTTTTATGCTGAATTTTAGAGGTTAAAATCAAAGCTTTACTTTGTTTTGTTTTGCTTTGTTTCTACCTCTAGAAAATTCTGACTCACTCGAAGTTCATATTTTGTCTGGAGGTAGCAAACTCCAAATTGCTCGGTCTCAGCATTCAGATAGCGGAAACTATACGTGCATTGCATCAAATATGGAAGGAAAAGCAGAGAAAAATTACATTCTTTCAATTCAAGGTATGTGATTTATCTTCAATATCTTCAGTTTATTCTTTCTGTAGCCCCAAAGAAGTCTACAATTAAAGAGATGATTTGTAATCGATTCAAAGTGTCTTTAGAGCAACAAAAAATATTAACAGTTCTTTGCCCTGCATTAGCCAGTAGATTTGATTTTCATGGAAATTGGCCTAGATGTGAAAAAAAGAATAGTGAAATTTGATAATCTTTATTTTTGGTATGTTTACCAAAATTCTTACTGAATTATACTTATTTATTTACAACTGGCATAATTTATTTTGATGCTAAGCCCATAGGTCTGTTCTTATTTATATATATAAGTAATATTTAATTCATGAAGAGGTTGCATTATATTTTAACTACAGGTAGGGAGGGGATTGGGTAAATTTCAAGTAATGCTGAATCTTATGCTATTTTGGGTTGAGAATAAGAAACATTAATTCATCCAATAAATATTTACTAAACCCTACTGTATTGTAACATAGTACTGAGCAATGCAAGGACAACTTATATCTTTTTGATTTTCGGTAAACCTCTAATTGGTACTTTTGTTCCAATAGTTTATTGAAATGAAAATCTAATTGGAAACTAAGTCGAAATGCTTGCTTTTTCCAATGTTAATATAGTTATTTTGAAACTAATGTTTCATAAATTATAAATGTGCATTATTATCGATCTGTTGTGTGCTCTGCTAAAGGTAACTACAACAAACGAAATTAAAGAGGAAGTAAAATATGTTTATGGGCATCAGTGTTTTCTTGGATTAGTAATACTTTGAGATTTCAGCAACAAAAGGGAGAAATAGCTACTCAGGGATTCAGTGTCAGAAATTACATGTTTCATTATGTTTAATGCACTGATAATAATAGTTGTTAATCATGAGGGTATGTGATGAAATCAAACATTTTATCAGATGCTTTACTAGGACTAGCCTATATATACAGGGCCTATGCAGTGCTTGTCATATATTAGACACTCATTACAGGATATTTCTTTTTAACATTCTTATTGACCTGACTTCTTTCTTACCGTCAATTCTGTAAATTTGTTATAATTATTATCATCTCTGGATGACTGAAATGAGATTTGGAGAGAGTGTGCAGTGGTGTGCTGGTAAATGCTTAAGAATTGACTCTTCAGATAAAAAGGTCCTGAATTTTAGTCAATAATTTGCAAGTTTCCATGGTGTAAATATCCCCACCATGGCTCATTTCAAACTACCAAGGTGATGTTACTGAACATGGAGTAGGAAAGACGTGCAGAATTGACTGTTGTGAACTGACGTGAGCCGTCCCAGCAGAGCACTATGAGTATATGGAAGAGGAATTCAGATGTGTTTCTGTTTGATACCATTGTCAGTATTTTTTATTACACATTATTTCTCAATTGAATCATTAAAGTAAAAACCAAATGAGAACAGAAACTCTTGGATCTTGAAAGCTCCAATAAGCCTATCCATTATTCAGAATAAATAATATTTAAAATGCATGAGGGGAAAGAAATAACCTAATAGATACTTTTCTCAGACCTTTATGCCAAGATTGTATAAAACAGATTCTCTTGAGTTGTGGTAATTCTCATCTATTGAGAATTTAGTCCAAGAGTGATTCTATTTAGCCAGAAAGTTTGTCCATGAGGTAGGCTTGTCACCAGTCCCTATGACTAAATAATTATATCAACTTACAGATATACCAGGAATATTGAAGTGATTGCTTTAGCTGTTCCTTATTTTTAAATAATTCATGAGGATGATACTAGTTTTATCTTGAACCACAATCTAGGAAGAATAAATAATAAAAATGACATACTGCTCTGTGATTCTGTTGTGTGCATTAGAATTTATATCATCGTGCCTTGCTAATGGACACTTTTATTTCTCCAAAGTTCCTCCGAGTGTTGCTGGAGCTGAAATTCCAAGTGAAGTCAGTGTCCTTCTAGGGGAAAATGTTGAGCTGGCCTGCAGTGCAAATGGCATTCCCGCCCCAGTCATTCAGTGGCTTAGAGATGGAAGACCCCTAGCTAGCAGTGAAATGGAAGGAAACCGGTATGTTTAAAAAGAGTCTTCACATTTCACATGAATAATTAATGCCAAATTTCATCTCCTTGGAGTATGAGTATCACTGTATTCAGAGAGAGAGAAATATAACATTTTGGAGCGTTGCACACACAGTTTCTTCCTGGAAAATCACTCAGGAGTGTGTGTGTGTGTGTGTGGGTGTGTGTGTGTGTGTGTGTGCGTGTGTGTGTGATCTTCATTCATCAACTCCAAGCTGCAAAATACCCTCAGACATTCATTCCTACAGATGGTAGTTAACTGCTGCTGGTTTTATTCCTCTCATCTCAGGATGTTTACCCTAAAGCCCGCGTCATAGGATAGTTCTTTCTTGCTAATGTCACACCAGTTTTGTCCTACAGAAGAATCATCAATAAGCTTAGATATGATTTCGTGTCCTGAGATCAGCAAACCACCAAATGCTCCGTATTTCTTGGCTCATTTTGAGAAAAGATACAATATCATCATAACCCACTTAATTCTTTGTAGTGATTTGTCCAGATCCCTTTTTCAGCTGACACTTTTTATTCGTTCCCCAAACCACGTAGGGATGGAAAAACCACGTGGCAAGGGCCTCCTGCTCTTTCAACAGCAAATAACCTTTGGAAGAACAATCCAGAATTCCACTCTCTACTAGATTACTTTATCACAAAGCCTTATTATGTTCAAAACCAGAGTAATTATAATTCCTTGAAGAGTTATATATACCTAAGTAGGCATTAATGAAATATATTGCAATATTTGTCATTTTGAACCAATAGTTTAAATGTAACAGTTTGGAGTGTATTTTCTGGTTAATGAATTGAACATACATAATTTAAAGAAAGATAGTTGTTGTTTTTCAAGTTATTTTATATTAAAATTCAGATGTTTGTTCCCTTTACCAGATGAAGTAAATTGCCTAATATCTTAGAGCTACATTTGAAGTTTCACTTCTCTGGCGTGGACATTTCTGAAAGTTAACAAATATTTAATTATTTTTCTTAAATCAGCTGCTATCAACACTATTCCAAGCCAAGTATTAGATAGCTGGTGGGACCTAAAGATCTTATATAAGATAATATTTGTACCTAGGAATTTACAATCTATCATTTATTTTATGTGAAGAACCTAACTGTACTTATTCTTATATCCACTTTAGTGATTATTTGTTCACTGCTCCACAATATGTATAGGTTTGTAAATAGAACAATTCATCAATCAAATAAAGTAAGTTTTCCAAAGTCAACTAAGTAATTGGTCATGGCAACTTGCTTTTTTTTGTTCATTCATATGGTTAGACTAATGGAATTTTAAAATTCACATTTTGAAAAAGAAAAAATACACTAGACCCAAAAAATAATATTATAATTCTCAATAATCATATTTAATAACCCTATATGTTAGAAATAGACTATTTACTTTTGACCCTGGGAGAAACTAATAAAATCACTATTGTAGGAGTAACTATAGATAGCAATTTAATCTCTTTCTAAAACACTGGAAGTTTTGTTTGATAATGTATGATCTGTGAAGAGAGTCAGTAATGCAATGATCCTAAATCGGTATCTTTGATAATCTAACTATATAGTTGTTATTTACCATTATATAGTTCAAAGGAAAAGCTTTAGCAACTTGTAGAAAAATTTTTGCAAAATATATCCATCCATAATCCTGAGCTGGTGTCACAGTTTAAATAAAATACTCTATTCTGCTTCTTTTCATTGAGTATTACTCAGCTGTTTATAACTAGATTTTTAATATATACTTTCTTTAATTTGTCATTGTAACATGTTTGTTTTCATACCAGAATTTTTATAATTTTTATTTAATTCAAACCTTATATTGACAACTGAGGATAAAATATTCTGACTGTGAGGGGGAAAAAGCAAAGCAGGCCTTTGCCAATAGTCTGGATAGAGAAGGTGCTAACCTGGTTTTGTTCATTTTCGTTTTCTCATAAGGAGGCAGCGGATATGTGAGCCCTGTGATTGCAGAATTTTAGTTGGTTGCCTGAAATCTCCATCTCTTTGACCAGCTCTGACTTTTCAGGCTTCCATGGAGTTAGCAAAAAGCATTTGAACCATTATATCCAAGGGAAAGATATATTTTATGGTCTGTTTTTTAAAAGAGCACCATAATCTGGGCTGAGCCTTCCAGACTTTAGCTGGACACAAAGCATCTCTGTGCCTCTTTTATGACCCCTTCTCCAGGGTGACTGCAAATGGCAGCACATTAGTCATCCACGGGGCTCTCCCGTCCGACGTGGGGAAATACTCGTGTGTCGCTACCAATCCCGCAGGAGAAGACGACCGCATTTTCAACTTAAATGTTTACGGTAAATACGACATTCCACCCTCCTTTGCCTGTGCTGCTTCAGGAGTCTCTCAGTAAAATAGGAAGGTCTGGCAGTAGGTGTCCGAAGCATTTGATTTTAAAATAGGATGTCATCGAGGTTTCCTTGTGGGATACAGAACAGAAATGGGGGCATTTGTGGAGATGACTTGAACTTGTAATATGCACCCACCCCCTTCTCTCTCTCCTAGTGCCACCTGCAATTAGGGGTAATAAAGAAGAAGCGGAGAGACTGACAGCCTTGGTGGATACTTCAATAAACATTGAGTGCAGGGCCACGGGGACGCCTCCACCCCAGATAAACTGGCTGAAGAACGGCCTTCCCCTGCCTCTGACCTCGCACACCCGGCTGCTGTCAGGAGGGCAGGTTATCAGGTCAGCGTTACTGTATGTGATTTGCTCTTTGCTAGACGGATAAAGTCACTGTGATTGTAGACTTGAACTTATCTAAACAGTGTTTAAGAAATATTTTTTCCTAAGTTTTTACTGTGGTTTGTTTTCTTTTTTAGCATCTCTTTAGAAGAGGGGGGAAAACAAATAGAAAATTGCAATGGCTTTTTATTCTTAGTTAAGTGCTCACGTGTCAGTAAATGGTATAAAATAGGTCTTTTATAAAGAGACGTATCTATCACATATGTATTTCCAAGAACAGCTCTTTCAGCTCAAATGTATATGGCAAAATGATAGGAAGATGCCTGCTACAGTCATGTGATTTTCACATTAATATCATTCTCTACTAGAGTATATTTGAAAAGTATTCACCTCAAATTATGTCATATTTTCAGTGGCCCACTGTCAGTGTCTCATCAGCTTTGTAGAAGAAATTGCCTTTGAGGCATCTGTGTTTCATGATGGATGGTTCTATTCTTGATGCCTAAAATTTCCCAGCGTAAATCACTTTCCATAACCTATGTTTAAACCCTAAGTATTTCATTTGTGTGTGTTGAATGAGATCAGGTTATGAAATTTTGTGTCAAATTGTCTTCCAGGATTGTGAGAGCTCAGGTGTCTGATGTTGCTGTGTACACGTGTGTGGCCTCCAACAGAGCTGGGGTGGATAATAAACATTATAGTCTTCAAGTTTTAGGTATGTCACAGATAAACCCTAGGGCTGTGCCATGGGTCTAGGATTAAGCAACAAGCTCATATTTAGATGTCGCCATATCAGAGAAGATTGGTCAGATAGGGTCCTGCTAACTGAGAAAAGACATTTTCTCCCAAGGGCTTCATGTTTATTAGAGCATACTGTCTGTCTGCCAACATGCTCTTCTAACCTGGAATTTCACATGAAATCAAATCTAAATTTTTAAAAACAACATTTCAGTCCAGACATAAGACCAGTCTTTTCATACAAATAGAAAGTTAAGACTGATTTCTAATATTATTCACAGTGGCCCATTTAGAGTATTGAAAATATGAATTGATGTGTACATATACAGGGTGTCCTCCCAAAAATGTATGCACACTTTGAGTAATTATTAATTCCAATGGGTTAAATCTGAAAAGAAAGAAACATCAATTGAGCTATCATATGTACAGGGTGTATGCAATTTTGGGGATACTCTATATATCTCTCTGTGTGTTTGTGGAGATAGAGAACTCACATTTCATTTCTGAAATGTTAAGGTTTCTGGGTGATATTTCTCCATCCCTAAGGACATCTCAGAATAGTTAACTAACTAATAGAGCCTGCAAATGACTGATGTTGGATTATATAAAATTTACTCTAGAATATAATATTATTTTATTACACAGAAAGTAGTTGAAAGTATACTTCTGGAATTTATCATATGTATTATAACAAATTAAAGAGACAAACCTCAGCAGTTAAAAAATGGCCAAAATGTAAACACATTGGAACAGTGTATATTTTAAAGGAAACAGTCCTGAGGTTTCATCGCTAATGCTTTGGAAGATTAATAATTAGCCTACTTAACACATGTTTTTATGGTGAAGTCATCGATTACATTATGTGCTATTTTAAATTCTATCTTTTTACAGATCATAGAAACATTAAAAAACTAATTGAACCCTTCCGTTTTTCTAAATCTAAATTGATCTCAAATTAAAATAGATATATAAAATATGCTCTTTTTCTTTTATGTATATAGTGCCACCAAATCTGGACAATGCAATGGGAACAGAGGAAATCACAATTGTCAGGGGCAGTTCTACCTCCATGACATGCCTCACGGATGGAACCCCAACTCCCAGGATGTCATGGCTGAGGGATGGCCAGCCTCTGGGGCTTGATACCCATCTGACAGTCAGCACTCAAGGGATGGTCCTTCAGCTCATCAAAGCAGAGACTGAAGACTCGGGGAGGTACACCTGCATTGCCTCCAATGAAGCTGGAGAAGTCAGCAAGCACTTTATCCTGAAGGTCCTGGGTATGTAAACAGTCAATATTGGGAAGGAAGAGACAAGAAAGAAAGACTTAGTAAAAAAGTGTAATTCTTAGAATCATTTGTTATGGGACAAAGTTTGTCAAAACTTCATTGTACGTCATATTCCTGTTTTATAATTCACCTAGGACAGCTATTTTCAACCTTTTTCATCTCATGGCACATAAACTAATTATTAAAATTCTATGGCACACCGAAAAAATATGCTATATTTTTGCAGATCTGACAAAAATAGGTATAATTGTGATTCATTCACACTGGATGACTGTTGTCATTTTTTTATTTGACAATCTGGGGGAAAACAGGTCAGTGACCCTGGCTAAATAGTCAAGTACTGCATGTTTTAAAAATTCTTACGGCACAGCAGTTGAAAATCGCTGACCTAGGATTATTCTTATCTGAAGCATGTTAAATTTAAATTACTGTTTTTTATCTGTCTAAAAAGATGTGAACTACTACTTGTAAATTATTATTCCAAGAACTAAAAGCACATCTGATAACAGCAATTTAATGAAAAAGTGTAATATTTTTGCTCATGTATGTTATTCCAAACAGCCTTTAAATGATCCAGTGTGTCGATTATAGTCGTAATCCTCATTTCACATTACCTAGTTCCACTTACTCTTGTATGCATTAACATAAATATTTAAGATGTGTGTTCCAGTGTTCTACGTGCAAACAAAATAGTATAAAGACAAAACACATCTTTTCCTTGAAGTCAAAAATTTTTGACTTAGGAAGAGAAGTGAAGATGAGTGAAAGGAGCTATTTCAATAAGCAATACTTTCATGGAGGTTTTTTTTTTTTCTTCGGTATTGTGTAAGTAAAAACCTCAGTCTCTTTACATAGAACAGAATGCACCCCTCAGGGCAATGAACAGGAAGAATGTTGGCAAGGGTCTAGCCAAAAAAGCTAGCATATGATTTTGGATGCCCTGTAATCTTTCTCATAGTACCTATTATAATTTAATTATTTGTGTGTCTTTAACAGTCTGCTTTATCCTTAGTTAAATGCTATGATTGGCAGTACCCATCTTATTGCTGCATTCACAGTGCACTTGACATGACACGATGTTTATTTGTTGGATTGAATTGAATGGAATTAGATACTTGTCAGCTGGATTAAAGGGCGTTTTTAACTGTAGAGGGAGGCAAGACAATATCTAAATAAACAAAGAGAAATACTGTGGTGTAGATGAGTGTTCCATAGAATGAAGGGTGGTAGTGGAAGCAGGACTCCAGGGTATTGAGAGACAAAGACAGAAGAAAGTGTGTGTCTGTGAGGAGGGGTGGCATGTCCTGTGCATCAGTTCACAGAACATGAAGAATAACAGGAGGTGACATAAATGGGATTTGTATCTCAATTATTGACTTATTAAGTATTAATTATTGACTATATGTTATGTGCCAGGCATGTTGTAGTCCTTATGTAACAAATAATTATTGAAAAACTGCTATGTGACCTACAGAGTGACAGCTACTTGAATGCATCATTGAATGAAAAAGAAGTGCTCTCAGGTTCCTACATCTGGGGGAACACTTGAACCAGTAAATACTTTGGCATGTGATGCGGATCGTGTGGCTAAAATAACATTCTGTGGGATGGTAAGGTTCAGAGGAGATCTCCTCAAGGATCCCTTTGTGCCTTCAAGGGCAAGGCGTAGAGGTGAGAGAGGAAAGTGAAAGTGATAGAGCTTGAGTTGTCTGTCTGTACTCACGTTGCTGAGTGTGAAAGGAAGAATAGCAAGAGGCAAGACTGGAAACCTGCAGACCGTGAAGAGCTTGGGGAACATTTTGGGGAAGTTGGACCTCTTTACAAAGGCAGGAAAGAAACTCAAGCAGGGATGTGTTACAACTAGATTTCATCTCGCAGAAATTCATTCTGATGACAGTGAAGAATGAATTGAAGAGCCTCTTGTATTCATACAGGCCTGAAAACGCAGGGCCCTGGCCCAGGACGGGGCCGTGAGTGGGGGGAGAGAGAAGGAAACCCCCCCTCTAGGAATTCAGGAACTCAGAAACAGAATCACAGTGCATTTCTGGATGTAAGAGGCGAAGGAAAAAAAATAGCACTAATATTGTTAGCGTCGTTTACAAAGAACAGCCTTCCCAGCTGAAGGGTTTATAAGGATATTTTTCTTAGAGCAGATTTGAAAACTGGCTCAGCAGAAAGATGAAATGTTTCTGCATTTCAGCAGCTGTTGAAAGCTAATTCCATTAAAACCCGAAAAACTCTACACTTGACCCAGTGCTACACTCAGAATTTGAGTGTAAATGTGCTCATTTGGGGAACTGCTGTTCTCAACTTAATTCTATCCACATGGTGGGCGGTGTCGTGAGGTATTACTGGTTCTGGAAAGTCCAGTTTGGCAAGAAGACCGAAAGAGAGGGAGGAAATCCTACAAAATAAAGCTGAGGGGTTTTGACAGGGTCCAGGCTGTGAAGGGCTGTGTCAGCCACTCTAAAAAATTGTGGTTCTTATCCTCGAACAGTGGAAAACCATTCAAGGTTCTCCTAACTGGGATGCCACGAGCAGAGTTACAGTTTGAAAAGACCACTCTTAACTGCAAAGAAGAGAGTGACTCAGAGCCGGAGACCAGTGTGTTAATTAGGAATTGTGTTTGGAAATATCATAGCGTCTAAAAATATGGCAGCTGAAACAAAGAACTTTTGTTTCTCTTGCCGAGCGAGATGCGTGGAGGGAGGCAGTAGTCGCATTGGGTCACCAGTTCAGATACTTACAGTTCCCTTGGCCTTCACACCATAGTTGTTCAGTGGTCAGGCATTGTCTGCTCCCCGCGCCCCTGGAGTCACTAGATGCAGCAATAAAGCAGGAAAAATTAGAAGGGCAAAGAGTTGGCCCTTTAGGGACTTTCTTAGATGTCCCATGAAACCCCTTCCACTTGTATCTCACGGGTCAGAAGACTCACATGCCACTCCATCTACTCTCTACGAAAGGGGCACGGCCCCAGCAAAAGGGGAGTCTGGTAATGAGAAAGAAAGAAGCAAGCAATGGTGTAGGCACCTGCAGCCGGGAAGGGAGAGTTATGAGTCCAAGCAAATGGTTTTTCACTCAGATTAGTGATGGAGGCGAGAGGAAAACAAGGTGTAATCTAGAAATAGTTGTAGGTAGATGTGTCAGGACTCAGGTGTGGGCTTGAACACAGGCGAAGAAGGTATCGAGGGTGACTCCTAGTTTCTGGCTCGTGTGACTAAGTGGTCGATGGGTCTGTCACAGAAATGCAGGGAAAGGACCAGGTATTGAGGTAGAAGGCAGCAGGTTGGGGCTGGGTACGTGTTGGGTTTGAAGTAGTTTCCAAAGGTCTCACTGAAGATGTTTATCCAATAATTGGGTTTATGGGTCTAGAGTTCAGAAGAGAAACCTAGGCTGGAAATAAAGTTGTGGAGTTGTCAGCGTGTGGACAACTCCTGCACTGCCCGAAGTGCAAGACACCTGGACGAGACCCGGGTGCAATAGTTCACAATCACTTAACACGGGTGGGCTCTGGTGACTGGGCCTTCAGCCGGTCGGGAACATGTTGTTGTTATTGTTGTTGTGGTTTTAAATCTAGTGACTATAACCTCTTGAGGATAAAGGCCACGCCTGACTAATCTTTTTATCCACAGCGACTGACACATAGTAAATAAACAAGTGGGAGGAATAAAGAATTGACCGTAGTCAAAAAAAAGAATCAGATGCGTGCTTGAGCGATACAGACAACATGTTATGGAAATTAAAAGGGATAGAGATTTTATAGTTTGTTGAGAGAGTCAAGAAAGGGTTTATAGTTTTTACAAGCGAACTTAACGACATTCATGTGACCTTGGTTGTACTTGAATATGCTCAGTTAGGAGATGGGACTATTGGAGACTGTTCCACTGGAAGGAATATCGTGAGCAAAGTCAGAATGAGAAAGCGCTGGACATGTTGAGGGACAAGTAGTCTGATTTAAAATCTGGGTTACATTAAAGGTAGATAATGTTGTAAGGATAGATTAAACCCTATTATGAAAGTCTTGGAAGCTGTAGTGTAGAGCTTATATTTAATTCAGTAAGCAACATGCAGACACAAATCTTTTAAGCAAGATATATTGAATCAATCTAAAATACACATAAGGAAATGTATTTTGTCTGACTTCTTAATTATAATCTAAAAATCAATACAGATTTAATATATTCTCTTTTTTCCAGAAAGGAAAATGAAGACCATAGGTAGAAATTTTTAGGAGGCAGGTTTTAATAATACTAATACCAACAGTTGTAGTAGACTTGTTGTAGTAATAACTTTTTAAAAAAACTTTAATTATAAAATAAAACAGATTCAGAAAACACAAAAGAAGCGTACATTGTTTATAGATTATCTCATTGAATCCTCACAACAGTCCTATAGTTAAATTATAGTACCATCCTTATTTTGAGATTTGTCTAAATGCACTAACCTAATAATTTTTGGAGCCCGGATTCAAACTCAAGCTATTTGACTCCAGATCCTTTGCTGTGAGCCTCTGTTCTAAACTATGTGCCTGATTAAAAAATAAAAAGACAGCTAATATTTGGAGCTGTCCAACAGCTATTTTGGCTGCCTTGTGAAACAGTAAGCTGGAAATGTTCATAGAACACTTGAACGATCATTATAAAGAAAGTCTGTTTCAGAGAGATTCCTGAACTTAGGAAGAGTGAACTGAGAAACCTTGCTGCTCCTTTCAAGTGTCGAGATTCCTTAACATCCCCTTGAGAATGATAATTTAGAAGTATAAATAATAAAGAAGGAAAATATTTCTGTCCACACATAACAAATGTGTTTTATGCAGAAAATGTTACTGTTTTTTCTTTTGCTGAGTGGTTGTTTTCTCTTAAAGTTCTGCATGGAAGAGATGATAGCAACATTCCATAGCATTTGCCTATTGCTTTTGTAGAAACAGTAGATATTTAAAAGATACAAAAACACACTATTAAGTACCTCTCTTTGAAAAATGGTACAAGATGGGTTTAGTTTTTATTATTTTCAAATTTCCAGTTAGGTCAGACTGCTCTAATGATCTGAACCCCAATTACTGAGGTGTAACTACCTCATAATGGCTTGTTACTTTGTGATCTGTTATAGCCATGATCCATTCCTTTTAAAATATTGCCATTTTAAAAACGGTAATAACATCTAATAATTATTTAGATATCGTGTTCTAACCAATTTAAATCATATGAACCATAGATTGGAGTCAAGTTTTCTTTTAAAGTTTTTCTAATCAGCAGTATTTTATCAAACAGCAAGTTTAGTTTGTTGTTTCTCATTTCCTTTAAATAGAACCACCTCATATCAATGGATCTGAAGAGCCTATAGAGGTATCAGTGATTGTTAACAATCCACTTGAACTTACCTGCATTGCTTCTGGAATCCCAGCTCCCAAAATCACCTGGATGAAAGATGGACGGCCCCTTCTCCAGACAGATCAGGTACAAACTCTTGGAGGAGGAGAGATTCTTCGAATATCTAGTAGTCAGGTAAGTTCAGTTCATGCAATTATTTTATCCTAGGTTCAGCTTCTCCCTTGCTGATATGTGAGACATGTTGGAAAAAATTGTATCTTTGAATTCGAATATATCACAGCTCTCAGTAACGTTAGCAACGGTGGATTGGCACTACAATATGCATGACTGAGTAGACACTTACAGGGTGACATGACTAAAAAGAAGTGGAAGTATCATGTTAAACTCAGAAGAAAGCAAGATATCTGCACATTAACTTTTACAAATTCTCACAGTGCTATAACTGATAAAATATCTTTTGTGCCATGTAGCACTTTATGGAACCAGCAAAAAGCAACAACATACATACATATATGAAGCCTCAAAGAGCACTTTTGATCTTCAGAATGAACTACCAGACCTGAAAATCTGAAGAGACACATTTAAAAAAAAAAAAAAAAGAACAATTCAGTAAAATTGACTGTTCTTTTAGGTTGTATTTAAGGAAACTAATCAGAAATGTGAATATATGAAAGAGAAATATTTCTGCGTATCTTAGTGTCACAGTCTTCTGTTCTCACAAAGGCAAGCCTTATATTCCAGATATTATCCACCTGTGCCCCGGTGCCCTCATCTGTAAACTGAGGGTAAAAATAATAATAATACCAAACTCATACACTTGGGGGTCTGGAGATAGTCTAACATGATGTGCTTAGACCATGCCACAGCCATGTAGTGATTCTAAACTAGAGTGAGATGGAATTATTGTCATTGCTGCTGCTAATATTGTTATAATCATCATTTCTTTAAAGAATAGAATAACACATTAATTAATCTTATTTTGTTTGCATTGTCACTGAGGAAAGAGGAAGGAAAGAGCTGGTAAAAGAGCGCTAAGGATTATAAATTGTGTCTTNTTGTTTGCATTGTCACTGAGGAAAGAGGAAGGAAAGAGCTGGTAAAAGAGGGCTAAGGATTATAAATTGTGTCTTTATATGTCTTGGTCCCCATACTACAAATCCACAAACAAACCCCTAGAGATTGAGCACTTATCTGCCAAGGACTTATCATTGCTCAGCGATGAGGCGGGTCTCCTCCTGGGTTTGGTTCCAAAGCCTCGCTGGTGGAGCTCAGCACAGTTCTCACTTCCAACACCAAGAACACGCCTTCTGTTCCCCTCTTCCATCCGTCAGACATGGCAATAACCCAGAGAAAACTCCTTTCAAACTAGCAAACCACTTGAATGTTACCATTTCAACAGACCGAAAAGGAAGGCAAAGAATTTTGTAACATAAAGAATAGCATGAATACAGGAAAGCATGCGGAATATAAATCATAAATTTACAAAGGACTCATAAATGTAAAGGAATCATGATAAATACAGCTGAAGAGGGAGATTCAGGCCACATTGCAGTGGGTCTTGAATGTGAGAATGAAAAGTTAGGTTATAACCAAACAAGACAGAGGTGCCATAGATTGTTAAATGGTGACCCATGTATTCTAGCTGTTGTGGAAAATACCAGCATAACCCATAAGACATTTCACAGCTTTCAAGAAATTTTCAGTGGTCTAGGAGAAATAAAACTACAGTTATGATGAAATTAGGAAAAGACATTATAAGAAAACCATTAAAAACATTATAGAAGTGAAGATTTTAATATTATCAAGTATAAAGACTGCTCTTGGTTCCTCCACACCTCTGTTTTCATAACATTTTGTACACATCTCTGTTAAAGCACTTACTAAATTATGCTTTACTTGTTTGAACTTTGTCTTTTCATGTATGTGTCATTAACATATAGATTGCCTGGCACATAATGGATGTTTTGCAATTCCAAAATGTGTGGTAGAGACAAGAGTTTCCTCAAACATCTTTCATCAAACATTCGTCTGTGATTCATTCCAAAGGGGGAAGAATTATATGACCAAATAGACTTGGAAAACTATGAACTGTACCTCTCCCTCCTTTGTGTGCCATAACAGTTGTCAACAACTTGGCAAAATCTTACTCTAAAAAAATCTGATCAACTATAATTTTCAAACACCCTATTAACAGAACACATTTTAGAAAATGTAGCTACAAATAATGACTTTTGATATCCTGAAGGGCATAAGTTGTCAGGAAATATTTCTTGGAGGAGGCAATATTTAAGAGTAGCCATGAATGATGGGTTCAAGTTTGGCTAAGTCAGGACAAGGGGAGGGGAAAGTATCATTTGGGAATAAATTGAGTTGGTAGAGAAGAATTGACTTTTAGAGGCTTTGAAAATATGATGAGAAATTCAGAAATGATTCTCTAGGTAGTAGCACATCATTTTAAATTCTTAATTGAAGGACTGTGTGAGTGCCATTCTTCTAAAGTTGTGTTTAAGTATTTTTCCAAAAATACTAGTCTTAACGTACTGGTCTTAAATTTTTTCAAAGGAGTTTCTGCAGCCTACCAAAAAGTTTTTCCATAATCTATAAAGTCAGTTTTGAATGTAAGAATTTTAAAATTTCCAATATATGAGGAATGTTCAAGTAGTAAAATAAATGAAAACAAGATTTTCCTACTTTTCCAAAATACCATTTTTTCACAGTAGTAAGATCATCTATTTTCCAGAGTTGTACTTTATACATGCATCAGCATGGGCCGTTTCTACACAACATCAAACATGTGAATGAAGACTAACACTTCCAGTGGAAACTATGCATGAGGTTTTTGAAAGAAATGTTCTGGCTTTAGTGAGAAAATAATAGATTTTGCTGTCACTCTGACCCTGTTTGCAGCCAAATTACATAATGTAGCCCTTTTGTTTCCTCATGTATGTCAAAGGTGGATTCAAAATGTGTCATTCATGTGCTTTATTTAAATAACCTGATATTTATTCATTTACTTAATTTTCTTCAGGAAGACTCCAATTGAACTTTTCAGTCTGAAATTCAGACTCACAAATACTTATTCAGTTAACGTTGAGCATCTAGCCTGTCATGTATGGCACTAGGTTCCTATACGTACCTGCCTTTCCTGAGACCATTCAATATACGTAATATGCAATTATCCTGAGATAAAGTACTGAAACCCTATTAAAACATAGATTTACATAAACTAGAGGTACCAAACAATGCTCTATATCTGAGTGCTATCAGAAATCTTAAGACAGTTCATTAAATCTTAATTATTATGCCATCTTAATGTAAAGCTGCTTGGTGTGAGATTTTCACATTCATTCTAGTGGATATTTATTCTCATCACCAAAACCAACACGGTAACACTGTGTAATTTACTTATCTGGATTTTTTAGGTGGAAGATACAGGAAGATACACATGCCTGGCATCCAGCCCTGCAGGAGATGATGACAAAGAATATTTAGTGAGAGTGCACGGTAAATTTGGCAAAGTGCTCGGCAGTCCATCAGACCCTAATACTCAATTAGAGGCCATATTTTATGGAACCTGGGGCAACTCCACAGCATATCATATGTTTATGCGTTAGGAAATATGTGTTTTGCAAATCCGATGCTTATATTTGACTGATCAAATGCTTTTAAGGAATAGTTCAGTGGATTTTGTTACTTGTTTTGTTCCTGCATAAATAATCCATATTTATTGATTTAAAATAATAGAATATAAATTATGATAAAAAGAAAATTTTTTAAATTCATCATCTTACCACACAAAGATAGGACTATTTTGCATACTAATATTTTGTCACAGAAATGTGGTCATACAGCATATAGTAGTTAATCTATTTTTTAATCTCACTTAATGGAATGGTAAATATGTTTTCATGTCAAAAAATATTTTTTATAACATTATTTTTTTGGTAATTGTGTGCTATTCCAGTTAACCTATATGCCATCATTTGTTTAATCCATTCCGTATGTTTGGATACTAAGGCTCTTTCTTTATTTTCACCAATATAAGCAACACTATTATAAACATCCTTGTACATACATGTACAGGGATGGTGTATTTCCTTAATTATTTTATTTTGATAAATTTCTTGCTTGTTTACACAGATACGCACACACACACATGCACATGCACACACACTTAAGGCCAAATTACCTTCTAAAAAGTTTGAACAGTTACACTCTGGCAGAGAAATGGGAATCTCTCCTGGTGGAGAGGAACATGTTAAAAACTAAGCACAGTTTTTTCTCATCCTCACAGCCTAAATGCCTAGCAGTGTAAGCTATAGGGCTGGCGTAATATAGGAGGGTCCTCCTCTGCCCACCTGCCCTGCATACAGATTAGACCTACCACTATTGACATGTAAATTGTGTATTATATATAACACAGTTACATTAAAAAGATACATTTCTGCAAATAAAGAAAAATATATATATTTATACATATTACAATAGACTCTGATTTAGTGGTTTTAAAATCTGATATTCAGAAAAAATCATTACCAAGTGTGTTCCTGGGCATGGAATCCCCTACTTGTGCCTTAGTTTTTTCAACTGTTAAATGGTGATATTAATGTGGTTTATTACTTATCCCAATCATGCGACTGAGGAAGGATTTCATTACTTAATGTATGTAAAAGTACTGAATAAGTAAAAACACATGCCACTATTTATAATAATTTGTACCATAAATTGAATGAGTAATGCCTTTTATTTCATATAGCAGAAGCAATATTTGTTGATTACCTATTAGAATTCAGATTGTTTTACGTCTCGTTTATTGAAAGCTTTCAGTGTATTTTTTTCCTCACACCCAGTGCCCCCTAATATTGCTGGAACTGATGGGTCTCAAGATTTCACTGTGCTACGGAACAGACAAGTGACATTGGAATGCAAATCAGATGCAGTGCCCCCACCTGTAATCACTTGGCTCAAAAATGGAGAACAGTTACAAGTAAGTCTTGTAACTTCAAGAGATTCATTTTGAGAAAAAAAAAAATCGTCTGTGGAGTCTTTGCTAGGTAGATAAAACCAAACAAACATCAGGCTACTAGTGATTTAACACTGCAGGGGTGGGCCTAAGGCCTCTGACTTTTCCTGCGTGGTCTTGTCTCCCATGTGCTCATTTCACTCTAGACCGTTAGGTATTCATATAGAGACTGATGGCATTGATGATGATGAAGTTGAGGCTAATTCCAGATATGACCAAGTTATGTGAGTACTAGGACAGACTTGAGTTCGCCAGTTACAAAAAATGTAAGATGAGCTCAGTTTTAGCTATTTTGAGTTTGGATTACCTATATGTTATCCAAGTGGAGATTCTTAAAAAGCATTAAGGAATATGGGTCCAAATTTCATTAAAAAGGTTTTGATTTGGTAGTCTTCATGGTAGAGCTTCTTATTGAAGCCTTCAGGTTGCATGAGGTTGACCAGAAAGCTTACAGGGTAACATGCCCAGTGACTGAGACTAAAACCTGAGGCTATACCAACAATTACAGGGTGAGCGAAGGAAGAAGAGAAAGTGAGTGGGACAGGGAAGGAGGATTCAGAGAGACAGGGTGAAACCTAGGAGACACCGGTGTACTGAAAGTCAAGGAAAGAGAGAGATTAACAGAGGCCGCATTAGGATACAAATTAAGTTGTGTCCCTTGGCTTTGAGAATACACAGAAGTGACTAAAGATCTTAACAATGGTTCTTCAGTAGCGTGGTCAAAGTAGAGGACAGGTTATGGTTGTTGGGGGAGTTAAAGAACAAGAAGAACTGGAAATAATCATGGACTATTCTTGAAATTGTGTAGAAAAGATTTATATATTTTTATTTACTGAGAGAAAGTGATTGAAGATGTAGGAGAGAGAAAGAGAAGTTTAAAAGACAAAGTGAAAGGCACGGGACCCTGATTGCAGGAGAAGAGATTATCCTTGGACTGATGGGTTGACCTTTTTTCACAGAAAATATCAATCTTTGATGGTACCTGAATTTTTTAACAATGATGAGCATCAGGCATTTTCATTTATACAAAATTATTTGTTTATATTAATTGGACTTAATAGCAGAGGTTAAATTTAATTATCTCTATGTTTTCATAATTCTTGATTCCATGCCTGGACATAAAATAAATGCTTAACAAATATTTGTAAACTAAAATAATTTATTTACTTATTTTTAAAATGTTAGGGGATAATTGTTTTCTATAAGTTACCCAAAGTTAATTTTCGAGTCAAGAAGCTTTCAGTTGTGAGTAAGAGACTGACTGAAACCAACTTAAAAAGTTTTTAAAGTTATTTATTAGCATCAGTATATGAACTCAGGCTTTAGACATCACTAGATCCAGAGGCTCTAATCATGTCTTCAAGCATCTATGTCCTTTCTCCGAATCTCCACTCTGCTTGCTTTGTCTTAGAGTCAACGCAGGCTGTCCCCACGTGCCACCAGCCTCATGTCATCCTCACTACCAGTGATTCTAGTGAAGAAAGCATGCCTTATTGCCCAGCACCTAGAGCAGAGTCCTGCGGTGGGCTCTGATGGGCCCACATTGAGTAGCCTGCCCATCCTTGAGTGGATCATTTTGGCCAGGACAACTGGGACATTTATTATGTCCTTGCCTTAACCACACTCATAGAAATAATTCTCATGGGTGTGTTTTTTTAAATATATCTTTATTGTTGAAAATATTACAGGTGTCTGCTCCCGCCCCCATTGACCCCCTCCGCCCTGCTCCCACCCCCTCCCGGTCCTTCACTGCACTATTTTCTGTGTCCATGGGTTATGCATATATGCGTATCCTCATGGGGTTTTGATACCAAGGTAATGGTGGGGGAAGCAGACAAAGGGTACTGAAAGACAGGTGCTCTACAGTTTACTATAGTGACTTTTGATGTTATAAGGTAATATTTTATTTCCTTCTTCTGACATTTTAATGATTAATTTTATTTGCTGAATCCAGGCAACACCTCGAGTACGAATCCTATCTGGAGGAAGATACTTGCAAATTAATAATGCAGATCTGGGTGATACAGCCAATTATACCTGTGTTGCCAGCAACATTGCAGGGAAGACTACAAGAGAATTTATTCTCACTGTAAATGGTAAGAAAAACTCATCATTGTTTCACAATTTAAAAATTTAACCAAAAACATTCAAGTAGATGATAACCTTTTTGTTTTTTATGAATCTATTAAACTGATTTTTGTGATTATCTTATTTCTCTAGAAAAAGACAACCTGTAGTATTTGTGTTGTGGTCATTTTCAAACTAACTCAAATTCAAAAAAAAAAAAAATAGTTAAAGATATATTACTGTCTTAGAGGATAATATATGCCCAGTTGTCATCAGCATATCCTGGTGTTTTGTGTCATTCAGATCAGAGCCATTAAGGAAGTTAATATATTAAATCTCCAAATGACAAGTGACCCATTATTTAGTTCACCTTTATTGATGTTGGTGTTTCAGTATACATGTGCTAGACAGAGACTGCAGAACTATATAGTTCTAAAATTATAGAACTATAATTTTATCAGATATAAAATCTAAACACTAAACATTGCCAAATTTCAGGAAGATAATACAGACTTTGCCCACAAACAATCCCTTTGGATTTTTAATATATGAAACCTTACAGGATATTGGGTGAACCACACAACTAATATCTCTACTGCTAAAATTAAAATTCAGGTTTTCTATTCCCATATGCATTCAATGATTAATAAAATACATGCTCTGAGACTTGCATGATTAATCACAGATGTGCTTTTTGTTAGAACAGCCCACTTTCTGTTCTTTATTTAAAGTGAAGTGGTGCCAGTGTTAACATTCTCTGACCATTATTTGGCCAAAGAGAAATAAGAAATATCATCTTTAATTTGCATCAGACTAGAGCTGATTTTTATTCAAGCCTCTCTTATAGAAAGCCAGATTTCACACACCATACCAGGGATTTAAAATCCCCTTCCCCCATCTACTCTTTAGTTTTAAACACAAAGTATCTTGAATAATATTTTAGCAATAAAACCCCGATTCTATTTATACTGATCTGAATTAGCTGTGGGCAAAGTTATCCATCTAACTCAAAGCTCACCTTGTATTACCACTTCAAAGTCTTAATTCAGGCTGTGGTATTAACATAAATGAAGTTTTCCATATGCATCTCTCCTGCAGTTCCTCCAAGCATAAAGAGTGGCCCCCAGAGTCTTGTCATTCACTTAAATAAGTCAACTGTATTGGAATGCTTTGCCGAAGGCCTGCCGGCCCCGAGGATCACATGGAGAAAGGATGGAGCTGTTCTCTCTGGGAATCATGCAAGGTAACAGTCTGGGAAGGGGTGAAAGCTGTAAGAACTGAAATATAAGTCCTTAACTATTTTTCCAGTGCATTATTTTGATCTTGTTATATTAGAATTAATCTCTTCACCTTCTTATGAGAATCAGAATACAGTATTCTAAAAGCGTAACTCCTAAGACTTACATCCAAAACATGATGATAATTCTTCAAAGATCACAAGCCCATCTGCTGTGCACCTTTGCAGAATAGCCCTTTATTCCGCCAGGATATTGTAAATTTCTGAAGCAGGGAAAGGACTAGAAATGGATCTAACTAAGCCTTTAAAAGTGCTCTCAGTCAAAATGTGGATAATCGGAAGAGGCTGACTCAAGGGACTCTGCTGTGATCTTTCTTGTAGATATTCCATCTTGGAAAATGGATTCCTTCACATCCAGTCAGCACATGTCACCGATGCTGGGCGGTATTTGTGTATGGCGACCAATGTTGCTGGAACAGACCGCAGACGGATAGATTTACAAGTCCATGGTAAATACACTCCTGTGAACAACATCCAACCTTTGGGTCCCATGTTCTTTGATAGCCTAAACCCGTAAGATCGTCAACACCTTGATATCCAAGACTACTCACATGTATTACACTATATTATGAACAGGCAAGACCCATATTTTCCCCTCATTGTGAACAGCACCATCGCAGCACTATTTAAATTCACAGAACCATGCTGTTTACCTAACTATGAGGCACATTACCAATGGTTAAATTCACTTGGGCAAAAATACTTGAGAAGGCATAGTACTTGCTGAGTGTGTTTCTCTCTTATTTGGTGACTATTTTAGTTCCTCCATCCATTGCTCTGGGTCCTACCAACATCACTGTAACAGTAAATGTTCAAACTACTCTGGCTTGTGAGGCTGCTGGAATCCCAAAACCATCCATCAGTTGGAGAAAAAACGGGCACCTTCTCAATGTGGATCAGAATCAGAATTCCTACAGGTAAGAAATAGTTTCATTGAAAAACCCCACCTACTATTTAGAAAAATAGTTTAAAAATAATACTTTAACTCTAGCAGTGAAGACAACAAATAATATATTTAAAGCATGAGGAATTAGGTCTACAGGATTAAATTTCTGCTCTGCTTTTTTTTTTTAAGCACCTTTTGGAATTTTATAAAGACAAAAGATGATATCATCATTTGGTACAAAAGAAACACTATTCTGTAAAAACAATTCAAGCTTTAGTTGTAGAATAAAACTCAAATTTTATACCTTGAAACACAACCTAAGTATTTGGCAGCCTGTGTGGGAAGAAAAAACAGCATTTTCTCCAATTTTTTGGCATTTCTCTGGCTCTGCCACCATACCTCATAATATGGCAGCGCATGATTTTTAAGGGTTACCCTTTAAGTGACTAGGAATTTCTGATGCTTTAGATGAGCATAATTTATTGTATCTCAATTAAGTTAATAGATAGTAATCTTGTCAAAAGATTTGCAGTAGTACCTAAAAGAAATGTTCTCTTTGAAATGATCTGCTTTGACAAAAATCAATTCTAATACAATTCTAATACATCAGGAAATATGAAGCTAAGAGTGTTTCACCTGAAATGCGATTGCTTCCCTCTCTTTCTCACCCTTTGAATCTTTTGGCATTGGAGTTTAGTGACTTGAAGGTACACAGTATGTGAAAAATGTCCAATGCCCTTGAATTTAAAAACATGTCAAACATGTCCCATTCAATCAGATTATTTCTATTCTATTAGTGCACAATTTGAAGTAAGAAAATAGATATTCTTATTCAGATTTACTTTAAATAATGTATGTGTAGTTAACTAAACCTCCTAAACATTCCATGTGATCCATATCACTTCAGTTTTTAATTCATTGGGAGGAAAAGACATTGATATATGTACTGTGCATCTCCAAGGTATCCAATACATGTAAGGAGATATGTGAAATGGGTAATTACTAATGACCCATCCGTCAATGGAAATAACCAAATACCAACCTGCGAAGTTATTGCTGAAATTTAGAGATAATTTTTGTGAAGCATTTGACATGGTGCCAGGAATGTAGTCAATGCTCAGTAAACAGTGGCTGTGATCAGTGTGCTCAGTGCACTGCATTCACGTAGGAGGGCATGGTTGATCGTGATCATGGTTGCTCGTGGTTGATTTTTCGAAAATGCAAGATCCCCCCTTCAGGCAATCCTTGTACCCACTGCCTCCTGTAAATGTCAAGGCTGAGGCCCTATCAATGAACTGCCATATAAATTTAAAGTCTGATACCCTAAGTATCAGAAATGATGCTCATTTTAACAGGAAAGAGTTCCATTTCCCTCAATTCACAACATGGGACCATATTGAACCAACTGGAAACACTTATGTAAACTGATATGTCATATCTCATTGTTTTAAATTCTTTCTTCTAGGCTCCTTTCTTCTGGTTCACTAGTAATTATTTCCCCTTCTGTGGATGACACTGCCACTTACGAGTGCACTGTGACCAACGATGCAGGAGAGGACAAGAGAACCGTGGATCTCACTGTCCAAGGTAGAACTGGCTTAGTGTGTGGATTGAAAGTTGGACTGACGTCATTCATCATTCCAGCCTCCCAAGAGGGCTTCCTTTTCCCCTTAATGAACATTTGCTTTCACTGTGGAAAGAGAAAGGTGTGTGATAACTCTTTGGAAATCTGTGAGCATTGGAAACATGGCATTTTCTTTTTTTGTGTTGTTGTTTTAGTTCCACCTTCCATAGCTGATGAGCCGACCGACTTCCTAGTAACCAAACACTCCCCAGCAGTAATTACCTGCACTGCTTCAGGGGTTCCATTTCCCTCCATTCACTGGATGAAAAATGGTATAAGACTGCTTCCCAGAGGAGATGGCTACAGAATTATTCAGTCCTCAGGTAAGACCAAGTTTAGCGATTGCACATCTGTTGATTGGACTAAGGGTGAATGGATGGCCTCACCAGACATTTTTGCACCAAAATTTAAAAAATGAAATACATATGAATTTCTGTGCTTAGGCAGCTGGGGGGAAAAATGCAATTGGCATGAGAAGAGAGGAAAGAAGTCTGCAAACAAAGTAACAATATCTAAGGCTGATCTGAATAAGCATGATCCACTGGAATTTTGTGGGCATATTTACTAAATCTAAGGTTTAACAAATTCACTGGTTGGCTTTGAGTGGACAGCATTTCTTTCATTGGCTAAATAGGATGTCCATTTATTTAACAAACATTTGTGCCTAAAATATACTATATACTCCACTAAGTTTCAGATGGTATAAAACTAAGACAGGGTTCTTGCTTTCAGTTTATAATTTAGCAGGTAAGGCTGGGTGATAAGTGCTGTGATGAGTAATTTTTGAGGGTGGTAGCCATCATTTATAGAAGTTAAGTATTGAAAATCTATAGAATTGAAGAGAGGAAAAATAATTCACCCATATGAAAGTATAGGTGATGCACATTGGTGTTTCTGAAAACTCACCCTGCATTGGGGAGGGCACTGGAGATACACTAAAGCAACAACTAGCATCCAGGGGCTTTATGAGTGTGTGCATATTATTCTGAAAGAATTTTTTTATTTCTTCAATAAAAGGGAAATAATGGAAGATTTGCTCTTGGGGTGGAACTTGGCTTTCAAGGCAAAGTATTTTTTGCCTTCTCAGAAACCTGTATAAGTTGATAGTAATTAAAATCATAAAATATACATTAATTACCCATCAGCACAAAGTATTGTGCAAAGAAAACAGTTTGGAACTTTCTCATAATGTTAAACAGTTACCATATCACCCAGCAACTCCATTCCTAGGTATCTACTCAGAGAAATGAAAACATATGTCCACAGAAAGACCTGTTTGCAAATGTTCAAACAGCATAATTCTCTATAGCCAAAAAGTAGAAACAATTCAGTTGCCCATCAGGTGGTGAATGGATAAAGAAAATGTGGATAATCCATACAGTGGAATTCTATGTAGCAATAAAATGGAACAAAAATATTGACACATGTTAGAACAGATGAAACCCGAAAACTATGCTCACCGTGACATGTCAGACACAAAAGGCTTCCGTATGATTTCATCTGTATGAAATATTCTATAAAGGGAAATATGTAGACAGAAAGCAAATTAGTGATTGCCTAGGGCTGGTGTTGAGAGTGAAGTGAGGAGTGACTGTAAATGTGATAAGATTTCTTTTTAGGGAAATGGAAATATTCTAAAATTAGATTATGATGATAGTTGCATAACTGTAAATAGACTAAAATTTCTGAATTGCAAATCTAAATGGGTGAATTTTATGATATGTAAATTTTGCTTCAATAAAGCTGTTAATAATGATTTTAAAAGTTCTTTGCTAGGCACCTCAGAGGTTACAAGTATTAATATAAGCCAGCACCACTGTGCTATGGGGATGAAAACACAGAAATCAGAGATACAGTTCATCAAACCAGAAAAATGGGTACACCGTGTGCAAAAACTTTTTTCTTTTTAGGAGCAATTGAAATATTTGCCAGTGAATTGAACCATGCTGGGAGATACACTTGTGTCGCCAGGAATGCGGCCGGTTCTGCACATCGACACGTGACCCTTCACGTCCAGGGTATGGAGGACTCTTGACTCATTAAAAGCTTGATGTTGGTTTTTAGTTTTGTTTTATCATGTTTATTCTTGAAAGGTGGTACTGTCTAGAGCTGTGAACCACAGAAATATGCTGAGGATAAGAAAGCCTGGTAGATAGTCTTCAGTAGCCTAAAGAGAACACACAGTGCTGGCCAGTTTGGCTCAGTGGTTAGAGCATCGGCCTGGGGACAGAAGGGGTCTCAGGTTCGACTCCCAGTCAAGGGCACGTACCTCAGTTGCAGGATCAACAAATCGATGTGTCTCTCTTATGTCAATATTTCTTTCTCTCTCGCTCTCTCTCCCCCCCTCCCTTCCACTCTCTCTAAAAATCAGTGGAAAAAATAAAAATAAGAAAGAAGACCCACAGACAACAAACCCCACAGAACAACTCTCGAATCACTTCTCTCCCTAAATTTGTATAATCTATTCCTGTTTCTGGTCTTCTAATAGAAACTGGCTGTAGTAGCAAGACTCAAAAAAATGTAATGTGGCCAATATTCACTTTTCCCTGGGACAGTCAAATCACTCCAGTTTTGGAATTATGAGTCTGGGCATGTTTAACCTCATGGCTACTGTAGACTTTTCTGCCACTACCGAGTATCATTGCTGATTTCTATTGATTGGTCCTTCTAGAGCCTCCTGTCATTCAGCCTCAGCCAAGTGAACTAGACGTCATCCTGAACAATCCCATTTTGTTACCGTGTGAAGCAACAGGGACACCCAGTCCTTTCATTACTTGGCAAAAAGAAGGCATCAATGTCATCACTTCAGGTATCTACACTGTTTTTATCAAGAAAAACCATGGCTCTAGGGTGTTCTCTAATTCAGAAGTCGGTATGATTTTTTTTCACAGAAATAAAAACTCTTCTCACTCTGCTTCTGTTACTGTGATATAGGCAAAAGCCACACAGTTCTTCCCAGGGGCGGCCTGCAGATCTCCAGAGCCGACAGAGGGGATGCCGGCACTTACATGTGTGTGGCTCAGAACCCGGCCGGCACAGCCTTGGGCAGAATCAAGTTGAATGTTCAAGGTATGCAAGTAACAACTCTCTGTGTCTTTATGCAAAGGTGCTTGTCGCCATGAATACTAAAATTCATAGAGCTAAAGTCGTTCTCAGCACTTTTAGTTTATATCATCTATGACCCTTATTGAGGAAGAAAATTTAGTGTGTTGGGAGGGTTTTTTTACATTGAAGAAGAAAACTGAGGCATCGCATCATATTTTGATCTTCTGTGAACCTCCGTTTGGTCCTCTGTTTCATTGTAGCACATATTTAAGGTGATTTTTAAAACTATTTTCTCCATAATACTACTATGGATATACTATGAAACACTAGGTTGCAATATCCACCTAAGAAAACAAATCATGATCGCTGTTAAACCAACTTGACGGGATAAAACTGTTCTCAAGACACAATGGGGTTTTTTCACATTTCACTGATATTTCCTTGGTATAATTTTTACACCTTATATGCATGGCTTTTGTGAATAAGAAAATGCACTAAAAATAGGTTCTGAGCAGCTGAATTTGCGTTAGCTGATTTTGAATTTCCTCGTGGTGCGATTTTCCTGTGATCAATTAATGACTATAGTAGAGCTCACTTACCTGCAGATTGTAAATCTAATTTCTTTGTATTTTTCAACAAATACTTACTGGGATAATCAGTGGAAATACATTGAATATCACAGACACAACCGTTCCCTTACAGTACGAAGAAGGGAAAAACTAAACTACCAAATAAATAAAATAATTCTAAATTCTGATATATGCTATGTGGAGGTGAAAGCAGATGGCTGAGATTGAGAATAAAGGGGACGTGTGGGGACCTCTTCAGCCATTCAAGTAGCTTCTCTGAGGGGTCCCCTATAAGCTGAGACTTGACCGATGAGCTAGGGTAACCTGTAAAGGTGTCCGAGTGTCTGAGGCAAAGAGGACAGCATGTGCCAGGGCCCGAGGCAGGAAAGGGTAAGGGTAAGAGAAGCAGCGTGCCAGTGTGGCTAGACGGCGATGAGCGAGGGGGGGCTGGCGACTGTGCGCGGAGGGCCGAAGGGCCACAGGAAGGTGAGATCTCATAGTCTACGCAGCGGGAAGCCTTTAGCCAAGACTCTGATTTGGTTGTAGGACGACCTCTTTTGCTGCTGTGTAGATAATGGCTTAGAGAAAAGGTCCGACTAGAGCTGGAAGAACCATTCGGGCCATCTTGGCAGGGTATTGTGGTCTGGCCAGGAGTGGCGGCCGGCGTGTGGGTTGCAAGGGTTAATGAAAAAAGTGATGGGTTGGCAATACTTTTGGAGATGTAATCACTAGGACTGCTGATAAATCAGATTTGGGAGATTAGGAAAACAGAAGAATTCGTGTTGTTTCCTGGGCCTTGGGCTTGAGCTGGTGAGTTAGGGTAGTGCCACGGGGAGTGCAAGGGAGAACCATGATTTCTGTGTAATCCTGTTAAACATGGGAAACTATTAGAGATCCTAGTGGAGATGCCAAATAGAGAGTTGACTGTTTATGAATTCAAGGCTCATCGGACAAGTATAGTCGAAAGTATAAATTAGGGAAGTACTCAGTGTATTTTAACTCACAAGAGTGGTTGAGAACTTGGATAAAGAGGAGCTAAGGACAAAGCCCCGGGACGCTGCATTGTGTAGGGGGCTCCGAGAAAGGAGAGGACAGTGGAAAAAATTAAAAGGAGAGGGCAGCGGTGTCGAAGTACTAGACGGAGGCTAGGAGAGATTCAAGAAGTGAGTGGACAGCTTTGCTGGGTGCAGGTGAGGTCATGGAAGGTAAGGACCGAGAAATGCTCATTGGTTTTGGCAATATAGAGGTCATGGGAAAGAGCAGTTCCAGATTTGAGCGGTTTTTTTTGTTTTGTTTTCACCAATGGAATAAAATTATTGATATGAGCAATTGTGGGACAAAGACACATTAAACAATAGCATTTCAACATCCTAAAAGCAACCAGAGATGATTGTGGGCTCTAGATTCGTGCAAAATCCTGAATACAACTTCTCCTTGCAGATACAGCATGTAATTTGCAAGCACAACTCCAACCAAATAATTTTGGTTGGTAAAAATAATTTTAGCATGCTTATTCCTATTTTTTCACAACTTGGCGATTTTATTTTACTCATCACCAGGAGTGTGCAGCCTAAGATTTGGTCTCTACATAATTGACCATTTCTCCACAGCCTTGGAGATGTAGCAGATAGTTCTGGGTCCCTGGGTCTGGCCATGCACAGGGCTTTACTTGGAAGAGTGGAGTTCTTAGAGATCTCTTGTTTCTGATTTCATTTCTTCATCAGCATGTGGTGACAATGAATATCACTGGCCTTGTTTCTCAAGCTTTTTTGAGTCCGTGGTGGATGATTCAGAGGATTTTTTTTTTTTTTCATACGCACACTTAAAGTGGCATTTTTACCATCATGGTTGTCTCTGCAACTTGTCACTGTCTCTGGACTTGAAGGCAGCAGAGTCATCCTCTCTTTCCTTTCTCTTTGCTTATGGTTGGCTGTTCTCTCATACTTATTTAATTTGTCTAAATCAGTAGAATATCCAGGCCAATATGTACGTGGTAATCAACCTATTCTAAACAATAGGAAGAAAAATCCTTATCATAAGCCCTTGCGTTGTTTTCTGAAGAAGTGGGAAGATTTTGAGCTATACAATTATTTTCCATGATCCATTCATTTATTTATTCATTCATTCAAATACTACATTAAATTTGGCCACTGGATATGACACGCCATGCTGAGCACTGTAGGAATGCATGAGTAGAGACCCAGTGAAATAATTTCCAAACTTTGAAGGGGTCTGTTTTGAAAGTTTAAGTAGCTGAAATGAATCACATAATACATGTATGTTAAAGGAAGTGCCTCTGGCAACACAGCTTAAATTTCCTGGAAATGCAATCCCTCAGGAATGTATGTTTATATCCTATTTAAAGCTGATTATTATTTACATTTGTTAACTACATCAGAGAATAATTTTCTGAAATGAGGTCGATGAACACAAACTGCAGTGATCCTTTGCTGATACCCTGAAATCAGGACTGTGTTTCTTTCTTATCTATGTGACTTCCCTTTGCTAGGGCAATATCAAAGTCTATAAGTGGTCCATTCATGCTTTTAAGATGAGACGTGAACTTCATATCTTTCAGTTCCCCCAGTCATCAGCCCCCATCCGAAGGAATATATCATTGCTGTGGATAAGCCCTTCACGTTACCGTGTGAGGCGGACGGCCTCCCGCCGCCTGACATCACGTGGCACAAGGACGGCCACACGGTTGTGGCTTCAGTCCGCCGGCGCCTCATCAGCTCGGGGGCCCTGCACATAGCCTTTGCCCGGCCGGAGGACGCCGGCCAGTACACGTGCACGGCGGCTAACGCGGCAGGGGCCAGCAGCGCCAGCACCAGGCTCACCGTCCACGGTAGGTGCTGTCCCCTAAACTGGTTCACCCTGCTGCAGACATGGCAACGAGAAGAGGCCACGAAGAAGACATCCGATGGAAATCAAAACCGTGCAAAGCCAGGAGTTCAGAGTGTGTGTCTGGTGCAAGTACACTTGCCCCTCAAATCTGTTTTATATAGGTATTATTTATTTATGTGCGAGAAAGAGATATTTTATTAATATAGCCAGGATAATTAATGTGTTAGCAATAATCCCCTCGTATTGTGATTCTTGAGATCTGTACTCTGGCTTATGAGAAGGCCGTTTTTCTTGGCGACTCTTCTGTTTTCCTTCTCAAGTTGAAAGTCATCTTGGCTCCACGCTGATCACCATGACCTACATTATAAATCCCCTATGAACCTGCTGAGTATTGGAGATCTATTGGAGTCATTATTTTAAAGTAGCAAAATATTTACACGTATATTTTTGTAACAGAAAAAAATTACCATTTTTTCCCTTTGTACTCAACTACAAATTACCTAAAGACCAGTATTGAAATATTTTAGTTGTTGATATATATCGTAAGACTAAAGATAGAATAACTATTCATATCAGTGGTAGGAAACAACAAGCAAATCAAACTGTTCCTAACTACTATTTTCAGTACTATTATTAGTACTAGTAATATTAATATTAGTAATAGTGCTGTTAGTCTCGTTTTAATGATGAGTTTCTGCTTTTCTTTGAAAATTTGTGAAAGCTATTTTTTATTTTTCAGCTGTATTTGAATTTCCTACAGCTTCATAGGTAACAGTAAAAGTTCAAGTGAAACCACTTTTAATTGATAAATGAATAATTTAGCCAAAATAAGAAAATCACCATTTATGAGTTTTCTAAATTTCTTTTCCTGATTTATACCTGCTTTCAGTGAATATACTTGAACTAATCAATACACATTAGTCCCTTAGTAAATAAGGAACGAATATAATACATCAACAATACTCCTTTTCTAGTATTTGTAGAAAATTTACCAAAATTGATCAGATACCAAACAGCAAAGAAATCGTTACGATTTAAAAATACATGCACAATTCCTACCCACAATGCAATATAGCTAGACATGTGTAATGAACCTTTAATGCCAAAAACCCCAACCCCAGGCTAATTAAAAAATAGCATTCTAGCCAGCAAGTAGGTCAAAGAATATGTTTTTATTTTTAGGTTTTTTAGAAAATAATAAAAATAAGGACACTAGAAATCAAAATGTATGGTGTGTGGCCAAAACTAAACTCAAATATAAAGGCATAGCCTTAAATTTTTCATTTCAAAAAAGAATGAATTGAATTAAGTGTAGTAATGTGGGAACTCTGTAACAACCAACAAAAGAAATAACAACTCCAAGGAAACCAGCATAAAAGAGATAATAAAAACACAGCACAATTTAATTAAAAAAAAAAATTGAGTATGATGCACCATTAAGCAAAATAGGTTATGTTTTTCATGTTATCTGTAATGATTATGCATATGCTCAATCATATGCTTATATATTTACTCAGATAATTATCGAAAGGATGAAAAATTGGAGTTTACACAATAGCTTTATTTTTGCTGACACCAACTGTTGTCCTGTCCCTTTTTAAAGGGTATTAAAGTTGATTCATTTCTCACTGATACATTTGAATAATTCCAAAGTTTATTGTTTTAGGAGGGGAGGTATTTTTATGTTTTGAGCCAAATATTCTTAAAACGTTCAAGATTTTTCCTTTAGAATATCTGAGGCACAGGAAATATTTGGTATCATAATGCACAGTGATTAAATCACTGTAAAATTTCCCTTTGTGACTGTATAAAATCTGAATTGTCTTGACCTGGTTTTACTTGCATTTGTTGTAAGACATATGAAATACTGCAATAATTTTCCTTTCTTTAGCACTTTATGATATTCAGTATGGGGTAGTGTTTTACAGTGTTTAAACTAGTAACTTTCACTAGTTCGTTCTCATAATACGTCTGTGATACAAATCCAGTAGTTATACAACCATAGAAGCATTCCTGTTTTTTGTTGGTTTGTTTTACTTTGCTGCAAAAAGAGACGAAACTCAACTAAGAAAAGTCAGGAAGTCAAATAAAATGTTGAAATTTTCAGCCCTGTTCTAAGTCATTTGCTCTGAAACTGATTGTAAAATACTCAATAAGTTCAAACTCATTACAATTCAGCTAGCATCAAAAATATTGATTACTTTTATAGTAACAAATTAGTATCTTAATAGATTTTCTTAGTATTTCTAGGAAATTTCAAAAGACTCTTTTGTGTGTTAATTTTCAATGTAAATAAAGATATTGTTGAACTCAGTACCCTGAATAACCGTCTATTTTAAACTCTTCGTAGTGCCACCCAAAATTCGAAGTACGGAAGCATACTACACGGTCACTGAGAATTCACAAGCTGTTCTTCCATGTGTGGCGGATGGAATCCCCACGCCAGCAATTAACTGGAAAAAAGACGACGTTCTTTTAGCTAACTTGTTAGGAAAATACACTGTTGAACCCTATGGAGAACTCATTCTGGAAAATGTTGTGGTAAGTATAATAGACATGAATAGATACACTGAGCCAGACTGTTGATTTATCTTCTCACTTTTAATATCTTTACTTGGAGATATATTTTTAATAAGAAAAGAAAAATACTCTTATAAATTCAGTTTACAAAATTAATTTTACACTTACTTTATGTCCCAGGCCTGAGGCTAGTATTGAACCGAGAGTAGGAACTCGTAAATGGCCTCCTTCTAAAATTGTCCCTTTATTTTTATTAAAACCTGTTTCTCAGAAAGAATTCTAAGTGTCTTCGTTATAGTCCATACTTATAACCGTGTATGGGAATGATTGAAAGAATGGAGATGTAGGAGAATCTGATGTCTTATTGAGCAAATACAAAAAGTAGTTTTTTGGTTCTTTCCAGGTTTTAAATAACCCTTTCTAACTGACAAGGAAACTAAAGTCTTGGAGATCTATGCATGCTGAGGTCTTTTAATATTCTTAGGTGGTACCTCACCAGCCTGCAGAGCTGTAGCTACCAGAAGCATCTCAGTTTCTCAGTGGCCGTCCCCTTGGAGAGAAATATGTGTCTATACGTACCACATACCTAAAAAATTGTCATGTGTTTTGAGAGTATCATTCTTAGCACCAAATAGTAAACATAATTAAAATGTGAATCAATTTCAGAGCTTCTGAGCGTATCTTACTCCTCCTCGTTACCCTTTAAAATGCCTAAATTTCATAACTAAATCTTGGTGGACTTAATTTGAACAGATTAAAAGGATAAAGTTGATCCCATTCATTTTATGGTATAATCTTGGCTGTTTAATAGACTCTAGAATCCAAAGTTTTCTGAGCGCTCATGACTATAAAACACCAGAGTTCTGTAAGGAATGGGCTTTTGTTTAAACGCTTATCCATGATAAATTATGTTATGCTGAAAGCTAGACAGGTGGGTCAGACTACAAGATGGAAATTTAAACTGTCTTTACATAAGAATGCTCCTTTGGGGACCAGGCTATGCAAGTTTGTGTTTTATGTAATATGATGTGAGGTTAAGTAATTTTAAGCACTGCGGTTTTTCTTTCTTTAAGCCCGAGGATTCTGGCACCTATACCTGTGTTGCAAACAATGCTGTGGGTGAAGACACACACACTGTCAGCCTCACCGTGCAGGTTCTCCCCACGTTTACTGAACTCCCTGGAGATGTGTCATTAAATAAAGGCGAACAGCTACGATTAAGCTGCAGAGCCACTGGTATTCCACTGCCCAAGTTAACATGGACCTTCAATAACAATATTATCCCAGGTTGGTAATTTAATTCTTCAGAAGAGAGTAAAATACAGCCATAAAGAACTCTAACCCAGTCTTCATTTCCTTTAGCCGTGGGAACCGGTGGAAAGTTACATGAAGAACTGATTGCTCTGCATTCTCTAAAATGTGTGTCTTTGCCTGGGTTTTACCCTATACCTAGTAAAGTATGTTCTTGTCGTTCTTTTGAAAGGATAAGTTGGTCCCGGGACCATATGTTGCAGGGTCTAAGTAGGTTTTTTAACCTAAAAATAATCTGTCTCCCCCTGGGGAAGACCTTATTGCAAATACTGGCATTGAAATGTATCCCCACTGAAACTCCTTCAGCATTGATAAAGGGAGTAAGGTGGCTGCTGTCAGAGTCCTGAAGATTCACCCAATTTTACAGAGAGCTCTGCTGCTCACTGTATGCATTAACCTCTATTATAGTGTAGCTCGATTACGTAGAAATTTCTAATCATTATGTGAACTACATGTTGAGGTAGTTAGTGCCTGGAACCCAGGAGCTGAGGGGACAAGTATTTCCTTACTTGTTAGACTTTGTCATCCGCATAAAGACATTACAGTAATGAGAACTTGCCCAAAATTGAGTTCTGAAATCCTATACTATTAGCATTTAATAAATATCTTGTTAGAAATGTAGTAATACTCTTGAGTGTTTTGTGTTATACATATTTATGTTAATAACTGGAATACACCAACTATATTATTTTAATAATAATGATAGTATATGTCACTAAGGGAAAATAATGTGCAGAAATATCTAAGTACTGTTTTCTGAAGGTATAGTACTGGTTTAGCTATTTAAATGTTAAAGCTCAATTTTTCACTTAGTGTTCAGCAGTGTGAAATTTTAAAAGATACTTTGAATGGGGAAAGCATGCACGATCAATATATACCTAACATAATTAGATATTGGCTGGTCTAATCAGAATCTTGTTCGGTATCCTTTGTCTTAGGATTAACCTTATAGTGTATTCCAAATATTACAACTACCTTTGTAAGTATTTATACCATCACCATTTATGGAGAAGTTTAAATTATTACAAATTTAATCATATTGTCATCACCTACCTGGCATATATTTTCTTGACATCCCCTCTGACCTACCATGCCAGTTGATTTATGACTGAAAAGGTTTTCATGTTTTTGATGTAAATTGTTTGGGAGGAAATGTGGTGGTGAGATAAATTAAATGGGAAATGTCATATTTCTGAATGAAAGATATTCAGATTTAGGCCACACTTTTGAGACGAAGGGTGTACTTTTAATCTAAAATAATTTTTTTAAATGTTTGTTTTCATTCCCTCTTCCTGTTCCTTCTGCTGTTTTTCATTCTTCAAACAACATCTATAGACAGCAAATAGCTCAGAGGAAGGGATCTGTGGAAAAAGCCCTCTTTCCCGAGGTCAGGATGAGACCTCTGGTTCAATTGCTGACCAACCCATAAATCTAACCTGCAAAATACTGAGCTGTTGTGATTATTTTCCTAGGTTACTGAGAAGCATTTGTGTTGTTTCCTAACTTGTTTCTCTCAGCCCACTTTGACAGTGTCAACGGACACAGTGAACTTGTTATTGAAAGGGTTTCAAAAGAGGATTCGGGTACTTACGTGTGCACTGCAGAGAACAGCATCGGTTTTGTGAAGGCAATTGGATTTGTTTATGTGAAAGGTAGGCAAAAGTGCTCTATTTTTTATTCATAATCTATTTATAATAAATGGTTGGTATTTTGCTTCCTTGTTATGTAGTAATACACCATAACTTCAGTTTATTAATCCATTTAGCCCTAATTCACGGATGTGCAAATTCATGAGAAATAGAATTTTATGAACATTCAACTCAAAGTAAGTGAGCAGTAAGGAGATGACTTGGCACAAAGTTAATCGTCTGCTTACGTTCTTGAAACTGATGAGATTAGTTGATTAGCATGAGCAGTTGATTTTGGAAAATTCATGGGGTTTGAAAGTGGCTATGCCCATCACTAAATAACCTTTCTACGTAGGTCAAAATCCCAAAAAAATGACCAGAGCTTCCTCTTGCTTATCCTTGTCCTGTGTTTTTCCCCAGAACCTCCAGTCTTCAAAGGTGATTACCCTTCTAACTGGATTGAACCGCTTGGCGGAAATGCAATTCTGAACTGTGAAGTGAAAGGGGATCCTGCCCCAACCATCCAGTGGAGCAGAAAGGGGGTGGATATTGAAATTAACCACAGAATCCGGCAACTTGGCAATGGCTCCCTGGCCATTTACGGCACTGTAGTAAGTCACTCAGGAATTGCCACAACGAAGGCCTTTCTATAGGTGCCATGGATGGGAAGAGCTTCTCTTGCATTCTCATTTAAATCATAACATCTGAATCAATGGGTTCTTATAACAAACTGAAACAATGGTTCAAATCAATTCTTTTTAGCCCTTTTGAAGAAGTACAAGCAATAAAATAATTTTTCTGCTTTGTTCCCGATCATTGCCCTGTTATTTAGCATCAGTAGAACAGGAAATTGAAAAATCACAAACATGACTACAAGTAAATTATAGGGCAGTTTTCATCACTAAGCCGATAACTATACATCAGGCTTTCCAAAAACTTCTGTAATTTGGAAAATGAGTGGTGCCCTAAGTTATTCTGATTTGGGGGTCACATGAATGAGATATCTTATCTAAAAATTTCTCAGTTAGACTGCATATGGGTAATTTGTTGAATTAGTTGAAATAATCATTAAAATATACTATCTAATCACTTATTCCAATGGACCACTCTCAGTCTTTTATTCTCGTTGGTTTGATTTCAACATTAGATTTAGTTGATTACCCTTAAGTTTTGAGATGATATCTACCTGTAGCTGCTGAACACTAATGAGTCTCAGGTTTCTTCATTACCCATCTCCCCTCTTTTGTCTACACAAATATTACCACTTCTCTAGTTGTTGGTCCTTCTCCTACCAACGTTAATACTAATACAACATTTTTTTCGCCATCCAGTTTCAGATTATTAAATATCTATCCCCAACCCTGAAAGTCTTCCGACTTCTACTTACATTTCCCTGCTAGAAGCTTCTATTTCGAGAATACGCTGGCAGCCCCAGCTGGACATCTAAATCAGCGTCTGTCTTCCTTCTCCCACGCTCCTCTGTTTCCTGCAATTCAGTTTCCCTTTATTGGCGTCATGTTTCTATTAACGAGACCAGAATTCTCCTATTCATAAGACCTTTGGCGAAATCTGTGACTTACTAGTTGCCAAATCTAAACTCATACAGTGCTTATTTTTATATCACATACATATAAATTGGGGAATTGCATTCTTCGAGTTAGCTTTTCACTTTCTCTCCTAAATCTCAAACTCTCGAGATAGAGGCTAAGCTTAATTTTTTTTTATTACCTAATCTCCATTAGAAAGGACTCGATATTTATTAATTTGTCCTGATTATTTTAATGCTTTTTAAATTACTATAAGAATAGCATCAGCATTTTCCTTTAGTAAGGTAATTTTGAATAGATGGTTATTAAAAAATGCTATTTTTGCCTTGGTTTCTTAGTAATTATTATGTCAGAGAGCAATAATAGGCTGTTTTGAAAATATTTAGCCGGGGAAATTTTTTCTTCTTTTTTTAACCTGTTTATGAGGTTAAACACATGTAGGTTTTCTCTTTCCATTAAAACGCCTTCTCACAAAGGAAATTCCATGTAAACTCTGCTCCGTAAGCTCACGTTGTCATAAACACTCTTTTCCCTAGAACGAGGATGCCGGCGACTACACGTGCGTAGCTGCGAATGAAGCTGGGGTGGTGCAGCGCAGCATGAGCCTGACTCTGCAGAGTAAGCCGCCGAATTAAATTCTAACTAAACACCTGGTTTTAGCAATGTTGCCCAATAAAGAATGTTCCGTTTCCTTAACGTTATAGCAGGTGCATCAATGGTAGCTTTCAGAGTGTGTCTACTTTAGTGTTCTCTGCTGCTGGAGCAGTTGTCACTGAGCACAAGACTCAACATGGTCTCAGTTATTGAGCATGAGACTCAGGAAGACCCAGTTTGGCGCAGATATTTTTCCCTGTTTGATCTAACTCATGCAGTTCAATTGCTTCACTGCAGAACTTTCTGTTTATCCGTTTGCAGTACTTTCCATTGACTATTCTTCTTAGAGTTCACCACAATTCTTGTAAAGTGCTTACAAAGGTGCCATTCTATGCACTTTAAAGATACGTATTAAAAATAAAGACTAGTGGAAACAAACTCAAGAGTGCTCCAGATCGATGGCTGTGTCCGTGAAATAGCTGTGTGATCTGGGCAGGGTTGCCGTGCCCATCGTGAAGCCCCTCAGTGTAAGCCCTCGGAAGACAGAGCTTTCATAATTAGAGAAACAGGAGGGACTGCAGTGTCCCGTTGAATAGTCTCCAGAACCACGTCAGGGCTCGCCTGAGGACATCACTGACCTGAGACTTAGGCCAACCAACTTACTTGGTGAATAAGCTCAGTATTTAAGGGGGTGAATTTACGTTTTCTTTATTCTCTATCGAGAGATGCTATTGACTGGTATTTACTAACAGCTATTTGCCAAACCAATTCTCTGCAAAACTTTAACATTGAATAGGTATTTTTACAATATCTAAGACAGTGTTATTCCTCCAGCTTTATCGAGGTATAGTTGACAAAACTGTAAAGATTTAGAGTGTACAGTGTGATGATTTGATATGTGTATGTGTTGTGACATGATTACCACAATGAAGTTAATTAACACATCCATCACCTTACCCAGTTACTGTTTGTTTTGGTTTATTTTTTGGTGAGAACACTAATGATCTATGTGCTTAGCAAATTTCAAGTATACAATGCAGTATTATTAACTATTGTCACCGTGCTATACATTAGCTCCTCAGAACTTACACATCTTAAGACTGAAAGTTTGTATACTTTGACCAGCATCTTCCCATTTTTTCCCACCCTCCAGCCCCTGGCAACCACTAAGCTACTGTTTGTTTCTATGAGTTTAACTTTCTTTTTATTTTTAGGATTCCACATATAAGTGATACCATATGTGCTTTGTCTCTCTCTGTCTGGTTTCCTTCCCTTTTTAGGGCTGAATAGTACACACACAATACACACACACACCATTTTCTTTATCCACTCTTCCATCGACAGACACTTAGGTTGTTTCCATATCTTGCTAAGTACATATTTATCAAATGATAACCTTGTGGGATTCTTTTAGAAAAATAGTAGAGTTCAGTGGTCCAATAAGTCTGAGGGGAAAAAAAGGTTAAACTAAGTTCATTCATTTATTCAGTAGGTAAAGAGCACGTGCTATGTGCCAAGCCCTACTTAGGTGTATCAAGTTTCTTTACTGCACATCTTTCCAAAAATGTTAATATGCTGATGTGAGTTTTAACTCAACAAGAGGAAGATCCAAAGTGCCACATTTCCCAAATAAATGTTATTTCTGTGAAAACTTCTCCCTTTTTTGTCTGGGTGAATATAGGTAGAACATCACATGATGAATCTCTTCTGGAAGGGTGTTCCACTGACCCGGTTTAAGACAGGCTGCATTAGATTAGCTCATTTACAATTACTGACAGCAAACTCGTTTAAATAAATGAGTCATATAAAAGAAGCCAGAAATATAATTTGTTTAAAATTAAGATTAAAGAACCAGAAACAATGTCTTCATTTAGATAAAATGATCATGTTTAACTGATCATTATGTGACCGGCAGAGTTAAGTCAACCTTGAAAGCAGTACATAAGGAATTTTATTGTTGGATTAATTCACAGCCTTGTGTGCAATTGGAAATGTTCAAATATGGTATCTAAATTAAGATTCTGAGTTTTATTTGACACTTTCTTTGACCATAATAACATGAGCAGATGAGCTCATTTAGTTATTTAGTGGGAGCGATTAAGCTGAAGTGTTTACTTTATTAAGCAAGTTTATTGAATACATAATGTAATGTGAACACTGGGAGAGAAATAAAAGCTCCAGCACTGAATGTTCCTAGAGCAAGGTTAGTGTAAATATCAATAGGAAGGCAGATTTGTAGAATGATATGTGCATTTCTATAAATGATGCATTAATGACTCTCACTGAGATTCAAACTTCATATGAAAAGACAGCACCTTTACATGAAATACTAGCATATTACTATCACAATAAAACACATTTTACTTCTATTTTTTTGTTTCATGTTCTGTGATTTTAGATACAGTTCTCAGTCTAAAATATGCAGCCACCACCCTGAATTCTCTGATATTCATTTCCTCTCATTGAGCAAATCATCCTACCTTTTAATTCAGTCCCACGAAAACACTGCTTTCATCCCATCATGTTCCTTCAAGAATATACTCGCTCTCCTTTGCTTACCTATTTAAATGCATATCCTTCTGATTTTCTTTGAAGGTTTTAACCAAACATTTAAAACCTTGTATGCCAGAGGATGAATCATCCTTTCAAAGCTAAATCCATCTCCATGCTATTTTCTTCTCTCCAATAGGCTCCTGTTTCTTATATATAATCTTAGCAATTTTTGAAAATGCAGTCAAGCTTCTTATCCCCCATGAAGTCCTTCATGTTCTTTCTTGAAACTGTAGACTTGTAAAAAGATAAATATTCTATCAGCAGCTATGAACAGCTTCTCTTACATTCTCTCCAAATATTTCACTTGAGCAGGTATCATCTACTGGAGAAACTATTAACCCCCCCTCCTTCCTTTGATTGCCAGGATACCATTTTCTCTGATTTTCTTCCTACCTCACTGACCAGTTCTTAGTACCACTGATGGTTTTGTCTTGTGTCCATCTCTTAAATAATAATGTTGCAGTAGTTTCTGTCTTTGGCCCTCTTCCTCTCATTTTAGACTCACTTGTGAAGAAATCTCATCTCACTCATGAAAGACTCACAGATCTGTAGATCTAGCCCATATCTTTATTCTGAACTCCAGAAGGGAATATTCACTTTCCATCTAGACATTTCTACAGCAATGTCCTGCAGATACCTCAAGCTCGACAGTTCTAAATGAATGCAAATCATCATTCCTTACTCCCAACAAATCTGTTCTTCCTCCCATGTTCTATCAAATTGTCCAACATACACTATATTGCCCAAGTCAAAACCCTGTAGTCATTCATTCTTCCCTTTACTTCATACAATTCAATGAGAAAGTCTAATCGTAAGAAAGTCTTTTCTTAATAATTCTTGAATGTCTTCTTTTTCTATTTCCAGTGACATGTTTTCATGTGATTTATTAAGATACTGTTGCTTATGTTCCCATATCGCCACACGTTTACCTACTCTACTAAATTGTCTTCTACCTAACCTATTACTTAATTCTATAGGTATATTATAATACAACTAAATAACTAGTTACTTGTCTGTCTTATCAGTGGACTAAGAGCTCCTTTAGATCAGGAGAAGCTGTATCTGTTATTTCTATACATCTAGCACAATACCTGGGAAATAGTTGGCTCTCAATATATGCTTATTGAATTAGTGAGTAATGACCAGTAGTGAAAGAATAAGTTAATAATGACTCTTTACCACTCAAATTATATAAGAGAAAGAAGTGAATGGTCACCATGCAAAAACCGCAATGATAACAATAGTACTTATACTCTTTTGTGCTTTCCCCATCAAAGAGCTGTGCTTACATCATCTTAGTAGAGTCTAACAAGAATCCTCCAAATTAGGCAACATTTTTAAGGACACAAAGGCTCAGAGAAGGCAGTAAGGAGCAGAAGCAGAACTTGAATTCAGAAAATGTGACTACAGATCCCATGCTCTAGGCTAATCTGCTTAGGGATTTAAAATTTTTGACATTTACTAAGTAAAACAGAGCTATGAAAATTCTATCAATAGAAATTATAACCTTAGTAGTTGAGAAGCTACAGTGTTTTATAAACTAATTAACCTAATTTTTAAAATTATGTTATTATATAATATTGATTAAAATGTTAATATTACTCCACCAAAACTAAGAAACATTATGTGCTTTTTTTCCCATAGGTCCTCCTATTATCACTCTTGAGCCAATAGCAACTATTATTAATGCTGGTGGCAAAGTCGTATTGAATTGTCAGGCCACTGGAGAGCCTCATCCAGCCATTACATGGTCTCGTCAAGGGCACGCTATCCCCTGGGATGACCGAGTGAACGTGTTGTCCAACAACTCGTTATATATCTCTGCTGCTCAGAAAGAAGATACATCTGAATATGAATGTGTTGCTCGAAATTTGATGGGTTCTGTCCTTGTCAGAGTACCAGTCACAGTCCAAGGTGAGTGTGATCAGACAGATACTCATATTAAACAGCACCCGGAGCAACTCAGATCATAAAAATTATTGAGCGTCTTAATCCAAGTCTCCTTTACCCTTAAAATACTTCTAGATTATGGAGCTAGGACAAAAATCTCATCACAGTCTGCAGACTGAAGGTACTAAATACAGATTAGAGCTGAAAAGTACCAAGTTAATAATTTAAATTCCCAAACTGAATTTTTGATTGAAAAATAGTCAATGTGTATATTTTGTGTGCGTGTTTTGCTTTTTTTTAAAAAAAGAAATCAATGTGTGTATTTTGCTTTAAAAAAAAAAAAAAGACATATTCAAAAGGTAAAAAACACATAAACTTCTTGGCTGTGTACTTTTTCAGTAGCCGTGTCCGAGTGAGTCAGGATTAGAGCTGGGCAGAGACTTGAGTTAACTGAAGTTCTCTCACACTTAGATTTTAATTTTGCCATAGAAGAGCTTCCATAAGCATTTCTCAGCAGTTCCAGATTTACCTATAGACCCAGTGCACATCTTCATGAAATCGAACTTGCAATTTTTGTGTTTGCTAAAACAGAGACAAAGTAGAATGTTTTCTTTGCAGTTCATGGTGGGTTTTCCCAGTGGTCTGCCTGGAGGGCCTGCAGTGTCACCTGTGGAAGAGGCATCCAAAAGAGAAGTCGCCTGTGCAATAACCCCCTCCCAGCCAACGGTGGGAAGCCTTGCCAAGGGTCGGATTCAGAAATGCGTAACTGTCAACATAAGCTGTGTCCAGGTACAGCTCTGCTCACAGATAGGCATGTGTTCATTTCTGTTCCCTATGGGCTGCCCCAGTGTTAGTACTTTCTTCGTTATTGAATTTATTGGGTTGACATTGGTTAATAAAATTAGACAGGTTTCAGGTATTCAGTTCTGCGGTATGTCATCTGTATATTGTATTGTGTGTTCACCACCTCCAGTCAGGCCTCCTTTTGTCACCATGTGTCACCCCTTCACCTTCTTTTTTCCCCATCACTTTTTATCCCGTCTTTGCCCCAGGTTTAGTAGTTTCAGTCGAAGTGCCCCTGATGGTGTAATGTCTCACTTTCGTGCAGTGGATGGTAGCTGGTCAGAGTGGAGCCCTTGGGAAGAATGCACGAGGAGCTGTGGGCGTGGCAACCGAACCCGGACCAGAACTTGCAGTAATCCACCCGCTCAGCACGGCGGGCGGCCTTGTGAAGGGAGCGCTGTGGAAATGATCATGTGCAACGTTAGGCCTTGCCCAGGTGAGAATCCGCCCATGAGCAAGACTCTGCTGTTTTTAGCTCCTATCAGGGGCCTATAATGACCTTTTCTTCCTTCTGAAAAGATGTTATGGCCTCTACCTTGCAATATATTCATTCTCCATGTTCTTAGTTCTGTCTCATGGATAAACTTGTGGAGGTAGAGCATGAATCAATGTTAAGTAAAATACCTGATTTAATTGAACATGATTAAAGGCTGCAGACTGTGGTGCGTTTTTAATCATGTAGAGAAAACATAAGTAATTACAGAGTCATAAAATTTTAGAGGTGATGACCTTTGGTAATACCTAATGCAGTCATTCATTTTCAGGAGAGAGAAATAAAGCCTAGAGAGGTTAAAAGGTTTCCCAGAAACACACAATTAATGAGGGCAAAAATAATAATAGTTACCATTGACTAAATACCTATCCTGTGCCAGGAGCCATGCTACATGCTTTATATACATGCTATTTTGGACTTTGTGAAACAACCCTACAACATAGGTAATCGGGGGCTCTTTGAGATTAAAGTGACAGAAATCAAACTTACATATGCTTAAGTAAAAATTCTACTTTCAGGTATGATTGAATCCAAAGATTTGGCCAATGTTTTACCAGCATGTTTTCCATCTCTCATCTCTGCTTTCCTCTCTTGGCTTCAATCTCCTTTAAACTCTTTCCATGTGGTGGAAAAAATGACTGCTGGCAGCTACTGACTCCCAGGGGCCTTATAGTCTAAGGCCTCAGAGACAAAGAGTTCCTCTCTCTCACAATTCATATCAGCCTCTGGGAAAGGACCCTTGTTTGATTTTGTTTGGATCCCATGTTCACCTCTGACCTTGAGTCTAGGAGAACGACACTTGGATAGCCAGCTTGGGCTACTTGCCCGCAGTGTGTTAAGAAAGCCAGGGCTTCTTGTTTGACAGCCTGAAAGAAATCATATGGAATAGAGGAGTGGCTGTTCACTCATTCATTCATTCATTCATTTATTCACCCCAAAAAATATTCATTGAGCACCCATTCTGTGCTCAAGGCACTATTCTAATTGCTCAAACTAGAATGACAAACAGATAATATCCTTCAAATATTAACAAGCATAGAGAACAGACTCACATAGTTGAAGTGATAGAGCATAAGTAGGAGAGACACCTTAGCTGGGGCGGTCAACAAAAGGGATATTGACAAACCAAAATGGGATAGTTACCCAGTTCACTGGGTATTGCATCCTGTTGTACAGACGAGGGAACTAAGATTCAGAGAATATGTGGTAGTTAACTCACTGAGGTTACATAGCTAGTAAAAGGTAAATCAAGGATTTGGACCCAGGTCCATCTGATGATTCCCAAGCTTATTCACTTAAATCCTGGGCATCTTGATTTGCAGTTCAAAACTTCCATTACATTATAAAAATAAAATGCTGTCATGAAATCTTAAAGAAAATAAACCAAAAGCCAAAATTGAGGGTTTTTTTCACCTTAAAGAATCAGAAAGCTAATTATAATAGAATGTGACAAAATAAAAAGAGCCAGAAATACCTGATTGCAGCAATCTTTGTACAGGTTGTTAACTGTGATATTTGTATAATGAAGAACTAAATGATTTTTATAAATGTCCTTGATTCCTGAACACTTCCTTGCTTTCTGGTGCAAATTGATATTTTAGTTTTATCAAGTATCTTTTGGAAAATCGTTGAGAACTGTGAAGAATGTCCGTACTAGCTCCGAGCTCACATGTATGTAGTCCCTACTGCGTGTGCTGTACTGATCCCAGCATTTTCATCTACAAACTCATTATTCCTCACCCTGACCCTAAAAAGGCAGGTTCTTTTATTATCTGGATATGGCAGATTATAAACTAAGCACACGGGCACCCAGTAACTTGTCCAGGACTGCACGGTTAGTAGTGGGCCGAGCGGTCCATTCAGGCCCGAGGCCCATGGTCCAGAGTCCCTGCAAGGACCATGTTCTGTTATCTTCCCAGAATCAGAATTGCAATATAGTGTAACAACAAATTTATCTATTACATTTTGCATTTTTCCTATATACCAACTCCTCCACGGTTGTCTTTGCTATTATTTAGACACCATGGCATTTTATGCCTTCTCTGGTTTATATTATTATTCCTTCTTTTTATCATTCCATTCATATAAAAGAAACATTTCATCTCTACCCTATTTTATGTCATGAAGTTCACTTCTGGTTAAGGTTTTCTGTATTGATTTAAAAAATAAAGATCTTCGGTCAAAAACCTCTATTTATATGTAGTAGAAACTACAGAAATAATACATGAATAAACGTTACCCAGTTAGAATCCTCCAGTAAAAGTGCATCTATGCTGTAAGGCTTTATATTGAAAGAGCTCTTGTTAACCAACAGCCTTGAAAATGGAACATGTGAAAATAATTGGAATAGCAGAATTTTTAAAATCTCATAGTCCATGTATAAGGACTATGCGCATTAGCCATCTGAATTAATAAAGAAATAGTTTTGAATAATACCTGCCAGATATTTAAATAAATTTGTGTGGCTGTGTTTGCCTGTGTCTACAAAGTACAGGAATATGCAGTCAACTCAATTAGAAAACATTTAATGAAAAGAAAATGCAAAGTGTCTTTTTGAAAATCGTTGAGAACTTTGAGTAAAGAATGGCCGTACTAGCTCATAGCTCACACGTACGTAGCTGTGTTTAAAAATTTTTCTAAACAGAGCAACCAACTGATAATTTCATTATGTGGTTTTCAACTTAGTCTTTTGGTGTCTAATAGGTTGTTAAGAGAATGGTTAGATGCAGACGAAGGCCTTGTTTTGGTTCATATCTCCGTTAAACTGGGTGACCACAAAAACATACGTTAGGAGCCCCATATTTAGAGATTACCCTCAAAACAAATGTATGGCCTGATACTGACTTATACAGGAGAGAAACCATAACCATGACTTAGTAAGAAACAAGGTTGCTCTAGTCTTGTGGTTCGATGGTGTAATATGTTAGTTACCAAATGGAAGGCCTTGGACACTCCTTGGAAAATACTGGTCAGATTTTTTTGTTAGGTTTCAGAAGCAGGTGAGTGTGTAATTCAGAACTTTTCATTCACGAACATTATGTAATGGAGAAATTTTGTTTTCAAAGAGTTACAACTGTGCAAATCATCATGTTGTTGAAAGAGCCAAGTACATTTTTAAACATGGAGCTGAATTGGGCTTAAAGACGTGCTCTTGCAACCTGGGGTCCAAGTTATCACTGTGGAAACATTTGTATTGTCCATAACCGCATCTGGATCTGCTTTATAGCCTTGTTCCTAAGCTTTCAGTTCCTCCCACTTTCCCCAGAGCGCAGGCAAATGCTTATCTATCTGGGATTTTAAAACTCAGATTGTGTTTACATATGGTAGCTTGATTAAATTTTATTTTAATAGAATAGCCCCTTTGGATAGTGTTAAGCATTTATTTTGGCATTAGTTAACCTTCTGAATTTTCCTATAGACGCGAATTTCCATGAAAATCTAACCAGAAGGAGAAAGGAAGAACATCACTCACGTTTTATTTGGTTCCATTTTAATTATTTTCGATTCTGGGCTAATTTCACTCATTACTGAGTTAATTTCCTTCTCTGATTTTTTCAACAAACATGGTTCTGTGACTTGAAACTCTGTCTCTTGGCATATTTATAGTTCATGGAGCATGGAGCACGTGGCAGCCATGGAGTGTGTGCAGCAGAAGCTGTGGCCAGGGCACCCAGACAAGAACGAGACTGTGCAATAACCCACCACCATCGTTTGGCGGCTCCTACTGTGATGGAGCAGAAACACAGATGCACGTTTGCCATGAAAGACACTGTCCAGGTAAGAGAAATACAGTATTTATACCCTCCATAAATTAACACCTGCCTCTTATGTAGGTGGTAGAATCAGTGTCAGTAAGAACATCACTCAACCTAGTAATACCCACCCAGTGTTTAACCTGCTCATTGTTAAGTAATGACAAAGTACATTTGTTTTTCCTTAATCCAGTGGATGGCAAGTGGGCCAGCTGGGCCAGTTGGAGCGCCTGCACTGTGTCCTGTGGAGGAGGGGCCAGACAGAGAACAAGGGACTGCTCTGACCCTGTTCCACAGCATGGAGGAAGCAAATGTGAAGGGAGCGATGTCCAGAGCGATTTCTGCAATAGTGACCCTTGTCCAAGTGAGTGTTGGAAATAGTGAGTCAAAATTATACTTTCTTAAAGTTGCGTTACGGCTTTAAGTCCTTAAAGTTATAATATTCTGTTAGTCGATTCGTCTGCCTTTGATTTAGGACGTCAAAATGTCGCATGGTTCTTTCTGTGTGTCTGTATAAGACCACAGACGTAATTGATTCGTATGGGCAGGGGCTGTGTCCTATTTCATTTACTCTGTGGGACCCGCTGCAGAGCACAGGGACGGCGGCACCCTGACCGGCTAACTTTTAATAATGATGATTCCTTTATGGAGGCAGGCAGGCAGTTCTCTGCCTTAATTCAGGGTCCAAGCTAGATTTTTAGACCCGAGCAGCATCTGAATCCACTGTATCTTCAGTGTGATAGCCTTGACTCACTGAGAACCGAGACCTTGTCTCGTTCGTATCCTTCAGCTCCTAGAATACTGTAAGACTCGATAAATGTGTGTTAAATGGAATTGTGCAGTCACTGGGTTGTATGCCCAGTTTCTGGTCAAAACAACCGGCTGATCCATCTACCTTTGGAAGTTGCCTATTTATAGACTTGAATGTTTACGTTCCTGGGGAGAGTCTTTCCAGACTTTTTGAATGAATGTCACTGTTTCGCACTTCTGTGGCTCTGTGTTTGTAGCTCACGGTAACTGGAGCCCTTGGAGTGGCTGGGGAACCTGCAGTCGGTCGTGCAGTGGAGGCCAGATGCGGCGTTACCGCACGTGTGATAACCCTCGGCCCTCCCACGGAGGAAGAGCTTGTGGGGGGCCAGACTCCCAGATCCAGAGATGCAACACTGACGTGTGTCCTGGTGAGTCCCCGACTCCTGGCAGTGGAACAAGCGAAGCATTCCGTTTAGTGTTCATTGTAGCAGCGCCATCGTTTTAGATCCTAAAATGAAAGTTGTGTAGGCGGGGCCACTCTAAATGTAAATTTTAAGACCGATTTGTTAATAGTGACCATTCCGTTCTTGTTCACAGTGGATGGGAGTTGGGGAAGCTGGCAGAGCTGGGGCCTGTGTTCTGCTTCTTGTGGAGGGGGTGAAAAGACTCGAAAACGGCTGTGCAACAACCCAGAGCCTTCTAACCGCGGGCGCCCCTGTCCAGGAGACGCCACTCAGGTATCCAGGTGCAATACGCAGGCTTGCCCAGGTGAGCAACTCAGATTTGGGCAGAACTATGGCTGGCACATTTACAGCCTTTCTGCAGATTAAAAAAGGGTGTCACTCTGAGCCCATAAATTACAAAACAGTGCCATCTCTGGGAGGAAGAATTAGGAAAAAAAGTACTTCCCTCCTTTACTGGTCCCCCTGAACCCCGAAACCCATGGCTGGATTTGAGCGTCTACTTGCCCCTTTCCAGGGTCCCTTGTAAAAGGATGTGGTCCACACAGCCATTGCAGTCCTGGGTGTGAGGGGTAAACGGGCGTGGGAAAGTGGGGAAGGCCTGGCTGAGACTCCAGGCTAAAGAATGAGGGTAGAGCAGAAACTAAGCATCTAACAGGAATACAGTATTGAAAGCTGTTGTTTCACAGATGTAAATGAGAACATGAGTGTGGAAAGTAATATAGAGGCCAATTCAGTTTGAAGACAAATAGGAGGAGGAGCTCAGTTCATCTACCATAACTCAAATCATGGAAGGAGCAGGAAGCTTAGGAACAAGGCTATATATAACAGATCCAGATGTTCGNTACCATAACTCAAATCATGGAAGGAGCAGGAAGCTTAGGAACAAGGCTATATAACAGATCCAGATGTTCAAATTGTAAAAATTTAGAAGGAACGAAGTCAGAATTCTAGAACTCATGGACCTTGGAAAGAGTTTGCTGGTGTCCTAAGAAATGGCAGGTAGTCCTAAAGGTACTTGTCTCAGGGGATAGACTTTCTAAGGGCTAGAAGCCGACCAGAAAGGACAGTTTGACATTGTTGAAGTGTTGAGATATGACTGGACTTTCCAAAGCTTTAAGGTTGCTTTAGAAATAAAATGTCCCTGGAAATCAAAAAAGCCCATTGGCAGAGTGAGAGAGAGAGGTTAGATGAAAAGATTTATAGGCTCTAGACAAGCTGAAGGGCAAGTGTCTTATCAGTCAACTGCTCAACGTATCTTCTCAACATATCAACTGATTCCCAAGGATTCGGAGGCTCTCCTAACACGTAGGGGTGGTGATAGGTCCCATTTCAGTGAAGGCAGTTTGTAGCTTAGCCTCTGGTGGCACCAGGGCCCCGGCGGCAGAAGGAAGTCCAAATATACAGTTTGGATTACAGTGTCTGACAGAACATTTCAAGCGTCCCAACTAGGTATCCAGACGAGACGTCTGTTGAGCACTGGGGCTCAAGTTCTCCTGCGAGCCTGGAGAACCAAGGTGACAATGGGAGGCCATGCTCGTTAGCAGGGACCCAGAGAACTAAGTGAATTAGTGATCCTTCTACCCCTCTCCTCCCCTGCCTAGGAATAAAGATAAAAACCCAAACGGCCTCCCAGGTTCTGATGGGACCTGCTATCTACTTTGCCGCATCCTCTTGCAGCATGGTTCCCAGCGCGCTCTAAGCTCTCACTTTTGGTTTCTCCAGGGTAGCAAGTGACCACCTCCCACACGTGCCGTTTTCTCTACCTGGAAAGCCCTTCTTCTTTGGTTTTCCCTGGCTTAGTTAAGACATCTGCTTTTCTTAAATCTCCACTGAAGTTTTACTTCCTTTTCACACTTGACCAAGTAGTAAATCTTACATATTAGTACATTTCAATTTTACATTTTTTATGGAATTCTAATTAATGTCTCTCTCCCCTATTCAGACATAAGCTCTATGAAGACAGGTCTCATGTATTTTTTTTCTCTTTCTTATTACTGATGTATCCTCAGGCCTTCATGACCAAATGAATGTGGTCCAGGACACCAAGGCTGAATCGAGGTGAAGGAGATGTTTTCTCTCGCCAGTAAAGGAAGGCAGATTAAAATGGTGAAATACTATAGGGATTGATTTTTCTGAGAGTGAATATAATTGTATTTCTCCCTCGTAGATAATGCCAGAGAACAATATCTGAAACACCTAGTGATTGTTTTAAAATACATTCGATTAAAAGGCATGGAATAATGAATATTTATGAATTTCACCATCAGCTTCTTCGCAGTATGTTTCTGCCTCTTATCAAAGCATGCAGTTCATTTAAGAAATAGTCGTTAGCCACCTGTTCTGTGTTAGTAACCAGTAATTTTGTTGAACAATGGAAAGAAGGCATAAAATTACTATAGAGGTGCTTTTTTAAAAACTTATAATTGTTTTTCAATCTGATTGTCTTGGTATAAATTTTGCAGCACTGTGAAAAGTACAATATTCTTCAAATTTTTGTCGTTAAGTATTTTTAAATATATATGTAATACGAAGACCTTGATAAGTCCAAGATCTGAAACCCAAGACTGAACAATAAAAACCTCTTAGATGTGTCACGTTTATGTTAACAGTGACCTGTCGCAAGGCTTAGGAACTATTTTTTGCTGGTGATTCCTCCTGTCCCTTTGTTTTTATGAAGGAGGGAAACAGATAAAAGAACATGGGTTTTGATGTCAGTCACGTCTGTGTTCAGATCCTATTCCACCACCTCCTACCTGTAACGATGATTTTCTCTGAACTTTATTTTCCTAGTCTGCCAACTGTGGCTACTTAAAATAAACTATCTTATGGGATTCTTGATAGGATTAAAAGAGTTAACATATATTAAGTGCTTGCTATAGTGCATGACACGCTCAATAAACTCATATTATCATCATTTCATTACCATCAACAAACACGCACTTTATTTTGGCTTTGGGACTGGGCGCTGATTGTGTTCTTTGGATTGTGAAATACTGTCATGATTGCATAGATTGGAAGGATCCTAGATTTATGTGGGATGATGAGTGCTACATTAGAGTAGAATGTTTTGAAAGCTTATTTATTACGCTCTTAAATTCGGATGTCATATGGTCTTTTCAAAGAAAAGAGAGAAGATTTGTAGCATCTTTGAAAATTGGCCTTCTTTTCTCCCGTGTAATGTTGATGAAATTATTTCCTTATCCAGGAATGTTTTTCCTTCCCCCAATAGGTGGGCCCCAGCGAGCCAGAGGAAGTGTTATTGGAAATATTAATGATGTTGAATTTGGAATTGCTTTCCTTAACGCCACAGTAACAGATAGCCCTACTTCTGATACTAAAATAATACATGCCAAAATTACCAATGTGCCTCGCAGACTTGGTAAGTTTCTTTGCTTATAAAAGTAATTAATAAGCCCCTTTTTAAAAATGCATATGGTAGTCTTCATCTCATTATTTCCAGTTAAAATTTCTAGAGGATGTTACTACCAAATGATCAGCATAGTAATTTTATCCCAGTGGTCAGCTCTTAAAGATACATGAGATACTGGTATTTATTTTATTGTTATTCAAGATTATTTAGGAATTGTCCTTATAATACGCCATAAAGACAGTAATAACAGTGAACTATAAATATTTTGCTTTGTCACTTTATTTATTCTTTTTTATCTAGGTCCAGCAATGAGAAAGATAGTTTCTATTTTAAATCCCATTTATTGGACAACAGCAAAGGAAATTGGAGAAGCAGTTAATGGCTTCACCCTCACCAATGCAGTCTTCAAGAGAGAAACCCAAGTGGAATTTGCAACTGGTTGGTGCCAGCTCAACTTAGTATTTTCTCTTACTGTAAAAATGTGATTGCCTTAAAAATTGGTAGTTAAATAAAATACATTATATGTTTCCACAGAGAATAATTTTAAAGTTTTTGAGGCAATCATATCATAAACAATATAAAAGCAATTTTGTATTTCCCTGTAAATTTTTACTCACACAGGTCTCTAAGAGGCCATGTGTTTTCAAACAGTGTGTCGATTTTTATACCCCGAAACTTCTTCATTGTATTTTCCGTATCTTTTCACCTTAAATCCTTAGAAAAAAGTTTTCAAGGCCAAACAGAACAGCAAAATGAGTCATTGCTATTAATGTCAGACTTCTTGGTCTGCGAACCTGAGATTCAATTAGAATACCTTGTAGGCATTCTTTATCAAAAAGATGGGAGTAAGGACAAGCAAATCTAAACGCTTTTTGCTCTAGCCTTAGTGTTAATGAATATGCATTAGCTGTTCATGGCTCTTTCCACGTGCCCACGGTCCGTTTCAACCTCACCAAAGGTGGTCAAGTGGCAGTGATCTTTAAGGAAGAAGGACTGAAGGAGGGCGCAGCTTTAATCATCCCAGAAGCGGGTCTGTCACAACCATCCACTTACTAAGATGCACCTTCGCCTGCAACGTCGGAAAGAGCAAAGCTCTGTGGACAGACTTGTGGTTCTTTGCCAGCTCGCCTGGTGAAGCTGGCTGTCCCTCTCACAAGCAGCCCATTTTTGTGGCACTGCTTTGCTGTTGCTGGGATTTTAACGAGTGGGATCCTTCACATAATCAAGCCTACCTTTAATCTGGGGCCCGAATGCTAATTTCATCCTTGTGTTATCTATGCTCATTGAAGCTTTTGGTAAAATAGCAGAGCTGCCCCGAATGTGAGTCAGTCTGCTGCGCGCTTGCACGCACCGGAGGCGGTGGTTCTGCAGCTAAATGCACATTGTAATCCCCAGGGGAGATCTTGCGCATGACGCACATCGCTCGGGGCCTGGATTCCGACGGTGCTCTGCTGCTCGACGTTGTCGTGAGCGGCTACGTGCTGCAGCTCCCTGCCCCCGCCGAGCTGATCCTGAAGGTAAGCCGTCTGTCTGTCTGTCAGGCAGCTGGGAGCTGACCCTGAAGGTAAGCCATCTGTCTGTCTGTCGGGCAGCTCAGAGCTGACCCTGAAGGTAAGCCGTCTGTCTGTCTGTCGGGCAGCTCGGAGCTGACCCTGAAGGTAAGCCGTCTGTCTGTCTGTCGGGCAGCTGGGAGCTGACCCTGAAGGTAAGCTGTCTGTCTGTCTGTCGGGCAGCTCGCCTTCGCTGTGCAGTGACACAGTGGCAGGAGCAGGAGCCAGAGCCGCGTAGAAAGGGCCCGGAGAGGGTGCACTGTCCCCTTGCTTGCTTTGGGGCATGAGTGTCTATAGCGCTGAGGTCAGAAGTGGCTCCCCCGGCCTTGCTTACATTCGCCAGAACGTGGGAGCGACCGGCGTGTCCAGAGGCAGGTGGCTGGGTGACGGCGGTGTGACGCTTATGTCCATAGCTCCGCACGTGTGCATCTTGACAGCGTGTGCAAAGGGAAGTGAGTCAGTGCAAAAGCACAAAACCCATACGATTTCACTTGCATGTGGGCTGGAACGCAAAAGATAGCACCGAAGAGTTGCGGGTTCGATTCTGGTCAAGGGCATGCACCTGGGTTGCAGGTTCGATCTCTGACCCCAGTCGGTGACCGTGAGGGAGGCACTCACACTGATGTCTCTCTCTCTGCCCCTTCCTTTCTCCTTTCCACTCTCTCGAAAACAATGAAAAAAAATGTCTTCGGGTGAGAATTAGCAAACAGAAAAACAGGAGATAAACAGAAGCAAACTCACAGACAGACAGCAGGACGGCGGTTACCAGACGGGAGCAGAGTGTGGGAGGGAGAGGGGGGCAAAGAGGACCAAATATATGGTAGTGAGGAGACTAGGTTGCAGGTGGCAGCCTGCAGTAGGGAACACGGATGTCTAATTATAATCCTACGCACCTGACAGTTATATCATGTTATTAGCCAGTGCACCCCAATACATTTAACCAAAGGAAATCTTCAGGGGCAAGGCTTTCCAAACTTTTAGTGGTCTATTATTCTGCTTAGCAGGACCAAGATCACCGCTATGTTGGTTTAAGCCATTTGTTTAGTTTTCGGCAAAAACAGTGGCAACTCTTACGTAAAAGTTTTTGTATAGCATCTGTAAAAGTTTCTGAAATTAAAGAATAAGCAATCGCCTTTTCACATCTTTTCTTGACTCTTGACCTACACCTTTGATTCCCTCATGAAACTAATTTATAACAATAAAATCATGAAACTAATGTAATCATAAGAGGTTCACATTTTCTTTCCTGAACTCTACTGTACAGTTACAATTTTATTTAGAACTAAAATAATTGAGCCTCTAAGCCTCCCCCCCCCCCATTCTGCATCTCAT